GAGCATGGAGGAGCGATGGAGGGTAGATTAGTAAAAAAAAAGTCTGTTCCACTTAGTTCCAGGGGTAAAGGGTGAACACCCGTGTCCCATGTGTGTGCAAGTTAGTTCCAGTTAGTTCCACTTAAAAACACACAAAACGTGGGACAAGTGTGTCCTGTCCTGTCCTGTTCCACCCTGTTCCACGTACCAAACGCACCCTTAGGGGCTGTTTCATTTGTTTTTCAATAAGTGATGTATGCAAAAAAGCTATCTGTGTAGATTAATCTATCTGTATAGACTGTGAAAGTTTTTGTTCGGGAGGGGATCTTTATAGATGGAAGGAATGTGTTTTTTAATTGGTAGGGGCGGGTTTGAAAAAAACTTGGCTTTTTGCATAATGTTCCCCCTTAGAAGGTTATTGAATAAGTCACTTTCTACATCATTAAGCCACTACCAAACATGTATAGGTGACCGAATAAGCTCTGAGTCCCGTTAAGCTCATTAAGCTGTTAACAAACAGAAGCCATAAAGAAGCACTCCTGTATGGCTGAGCGAATAAGCTAACCAGACCATTAAGCTCATTAAGCTGCAAGTAAACAACCCTTTTACTGTCTTATTAGTTTACTTGTGTGGTTTGTGGTTGCTAGGCTTCCATAGGTGTGCCTGAAACTGGAGTCATGACAGCAGAACTTCTAGAAAGATTATATATGGAGCAAAGTGAAGGGACTTCTGGTTTCAAGGTGACTGCAAATCTTGAAACTTCTTTTTTTAAAGGGTGACTAATCCCGGCAAATTGCGATTGTAAGACATCAGCCCTGATAAACTCAGTGGTCACAATTGTTAAGGACGCCTGGAGTTGAACCTACGCAAATGGGATATTCCACTACATCCCCTTGACCTCAACCACAATGCCACACCCTTTGTGGTTTGCAAATCTTGATACTCGGTGGCACCCAAAATCTGGAAAATACCATAAATGGCTAATGTGATGATTTGCATTGTTTTAGGAAGGTGAAAATGGAGTTGCTGTGACCTCAGTAACTCAAGTACCCGAAATTCTTTCGAGAGTTGTGAAAGAATACGTAGAACCCGATGTGTATGATAACCGCGTCTTTCTTCTCGGCGAAAACAGATGGGAAGATTCGTCGAGGCTTAAAAATCGAAACAAACAAGATAGTCAAGTAAGTCAAACGGATAGCAAAGGCGTTGTGACGAAAAGATGTATTACGTGTTGTGGGATAGGACATTTACAGTGTGCAGGTGTGCTTTCCTTATTCCATCTTCTTAGTTTCAAGTATGTCTAAGGCTATGTTTAGCAAACTGGCTGATAAGTTAGCTGAAAAAAACTAAACTAGTTGAAATGACAACATAAAATGATATGTTAATAAATAAATTGGAAAATATAAGGGGTATATTTGGAAAAAGGTAGAAAAAAGCCCTACGAGCTTCTTAAATGCTACTAATGCTAGCTTATAAGCAAACCAAACGAAACTTTTTCTAAGCTAGCTATGGTTGCCAAACATGGCCAAAATGAGCATTCCGAAGAACGTAAGGTGGTTTGCTTCTTTTGATTCCATGCTTGATCAACGAATCCAAATGATACCATGTGTTGGAGTCCAGCATCAGCTAGATTTGACCCTTTTTCTCTATATATGTTGAAACCTCCCTTTTGTCCTAAAAGGGCTATTTTGGAGAGTAATCCAGGGGTTCCACATACTCTCATATGGTATCGGAGCCAAGGTCGACACTCCGGGGCAACTTTACTCATCTAGGCCCCTCACCTGTGTAACCCCTTCTCGTCACTCTGTGACGATCTATGCCCGTCTATCCCGTTGAGGGGGCGTGTTGGAGTCCCACATCAACGAAGCCTATCATTTCATCTCTATATATGTTAGAATCAACGTTTCTCTCCTCAAAGGCTCTTTTGGAGAGTAATCTGAGGGTTCCGCATATTCTCACACCATCAAATGTTGGGTTGTTTCTTTGTATTGATCATCTTCTAACAAGTTATTTGATTTGAAAATGCAGAATGTGATGGAACTGGTGAGCCAAATATAGAACCACAGGTGAGCACATACATACATACATACATAAAAAGATTCATCTTTTCTTACATTTTGAAGCTCAATCTTTGGTGGGTTCTTGGTGCAGTTTTTAGAATGGGTTGGTGAAGACACCAAGTGCCCATACTGTGAAGGCATTGGTCATTCAATTTGTGATGTTTGCCAAGGAACAGGATTCACTACTGCCTAAATCATCACTTTGGAGATTCAATTATCATACATATCATACATGTAATGTAACTCTTTGTATACTTATTTTTTCCCTTCATAAAACGACATAGCGTAGAGCTGTAGACTATGGAGATCAAAGTCGATTTGCATATATCGACATTGGAAGGTGATATTGTAAGAAGATAAGACATCGATGTAATTGGTTTCGGGGTTATATCAAATTTTACGGATAAGGTTTAGCCAAATAGCGAAAGGTATATTACATTACCGTTTCTAGGAACGTTAAATGGTTGCCGTATTCCAACAATTATGCTATAATTATTAAAGTTATTATGTTTTATCAATTCTAGCATTAGTTATATTGTTAAAATATTTTATTCATCGTCCCACCATAAAGCTTCATAAAAAATTATAACACAATCAATATCATTGGTGAAAACAATTAAAATTACTATGTGATCAACTTGAGTGTAGAAACACCAAAACGAGTGTATCACAATTGTTGAAATTATGAAGCCGTAAAATCACCTAGCAGTTCTCTGTTGCTTAAAATTGTATTCACGTGTTGTAAATCGACAAAAACAAGCTCAAATATGACACCACCATAAATCAAATATTTGCATCTAAGAGGTCGTTTATCAAATGTTTATCCTTTTAAAGAAAAGGTCGTGTACTAAAATGCTTATCGAGTAATTGTTTACCAGCAAAAGTCACCACCCTGTTTTTATCTTTTTGAATAACATTATCGACCATCAAAATTAGATTATTTGAACGCTTTTCATACTTGGTGAACGCTAACCAGGTAAAAAGTCTTCTGACACATTCGTTACTTACCGAATAAGTTCATCAGTTGTTTCATGTCTCTTCCCTAGTAAAATTATCAGTCTTTACCCTGATCACATGATACAAATAAACTAACCTGTAAGCATTTATTAAATGACTTCTAACTTGAAAGAAACTGACTAAACAACCTATTGGAGTATGGTTTTCATTTTTTTGGACTATATCAAATAAAACCTAATACTTGAGGGACTATTATGTAATTCACTCAAATATTGACCCGATTAGAATCCACCCGGTCATTACGGAGCCGCCCCAGTTGACCGACTTAAGACCCGCCGTATAAAAACAAATGAAAATCCCCAAATTCACATTTATACTCATTTTTCGCATCCAAACACAGCGTCGTTTTTTCTTTGTTTACGGTCGTCGGATCTGATTGTCACATACAAACCCTAGTAAGTTTCACCTTCATTTTCTTGAGCAAAAAGTACGATTTCCATGGATTATTTGTATGATTATTACATGTATTTGTAATCTCTATGCATGTTTCGTTGATTATGCATGTATTTATGCGAACTATATCATCGTTTCGAATGATAGACGACATGTGTTCATGATTCTTCTTATTTTCGATGATTCGAGGTTTTTTTTCTCGTTTTACGTATACAATTAGGTTTTGGTATTTTTTTTAAAATTAGGTTTTGCTATCATGTCGGTTTGTTCGTGGTTTTGATATTTTGTTTCTCTTGGATGCTGTAGATTGGCTTGTGTTATGTGTGTGTTTTAATTCAGTCATTTGATAGTGGTAGTTTCATATGGATGTTTTATGTGGATTGTTTATTGATATGGCTGGAAGCAACGTTGACTGTTTATTTTGGTTTTGGTGTGTTTTCAGGTTGATTAAGAGTTGGAAATATGGATCCAGTTGATGCAGAGATTGCGAAGACACAGGAAGAAAGGAAGATTATGGAAGCAGCCCTAGCGCCCAATTCGATTACTTTTGATACTGAGCTTTATGATGGGAACAACCGCTTTCAGGATTATAACAGGGAGATCCCTGCTAATGATGAAGAGGAGAACGTGGATGCCATGGATAATGAGGTTGCCCGGAAATTAGCTTCTTATACTGCCCCAAGGTCTCTCTTGAACGATATGCCCAGAGGTGGGGATGACGAGTCTTTGGGGTTTAAGAAATCGCAGAGGATTATTGACAGGGAGGATGATTACAGAAGGAGGAGGCTGAATCAGGTTATTTCGCCAGAGAGACATGATGCTTTTGCAAATGGGGATAAGACTCCAAAACCTGAAACGAGGACATATGCTGATGTTATGAGGGAAGCAGCTCTGAAAAGAGAGAAGGAGGAGACCTTAAAGGCAATTGCTAGGAAGAAGAAAGAAGAAGAAGAGAATAAGGCAGCTGGAAAGGGAAGGGAGACAGTTGCTGCACAACCTGCCCAAAAGAGGAGGAACAGATGGGATCAGTCTCAGGATGATTCAGGTGCGAAGAAAGCAAAGACAGGTTCTGATTGGGATATGCCAGACTCAACTCCAGGGATTGGACGATGGGATGCTACCCCAACACCAGGGAGAGTTGGTGATGCAACTCCTTCATTGTCCAGGAAAAACAGGTGGGATGAAACTCCTACACCTGGTCGGTTGGCTGATTCGGATGCGACTCCAGCTGGTGGTGGAGTCACCCCAGGTGCTACTCCAGCCGGTATGACATGGGATGCTACTCCAAAGTTGTCTGGCATGGCTACCCCAACACCAAAACGTCAGAGGTCAAGGTGGGACGAGACACCAGCAACCATGGGAAGTGCCACACCCGGTGGTGCTACACCTGCAGTAGCATATACTCCTGGTGTAACTCCTGTTGGTGGGGTTGAACTTGCCACTCCCACCCCGGGAGCTATAAATTTGCGTGGTGCCATCACGCCAGAGCAGTATAATTTGCTGAGATGGGAGAAAGATATTGAAGATAGGAATCGCCCGCTGACAGACGAAGAACTTGATACAATGTTCCCTCAAGAAGGGTATAAGATTTTGGAACCACCCCCTTCTTATGTTCCAATCAGAACCCCTGCAAGGAAGCTTCTTGCAACCCCAACTCCTTTAGGAACACCTCTATATTCGATTCCTGAAGAAAATAGGGGTCAGCAGTTTGATGTTCCAAAAGAGATGCCTGGTGGGTTGCCATTCATGAAGCCCGAAGATTACCAATACTTTGGTGCCTTGTTGAATGAAGAAGATGAAGAGGAGTTGTCTCCAGACGAGCAAAAAGAGCGAAAAATCATGAAATTGCTTCTCAAGGTTAAGAATGGGACTCCTCCGCAGAGGAAAACAGCTTTGAGGCAGCTCACTGATAAGGCTCGTGAATTTGGTGCTGGGCCATTGTTCAACCGTATTCTTCCCTTGCTTATGCAGCCTACTTTGGAGGACCAGGAGAGACACTTGTTGGTGAAGGTCATAGACAGAGTGCTTTACAAGTTAGACGAGCTGGTACGGCCTTATGTGCACAAAATCTTGGTTGTGATAGAACCTTTGCTGATTGATGAGGACTATTATGCTCGTGTAGAGGGGAGAGAAATTATATCCAATCTCAGCAAGGCAGCTGGGTTAGCTACTATGATTGCTGCTATGCGTCCAGATATTGATAACATTGATGAGTATGTGAGGAACACCACTGCAAGAGCTTTTAGTGTTGTCGCATCAGCACTTGGCATCCCTGCACTGCTGCCATTTTTGAAAGCTGTGTGTCAAAGTAAGAAATCGTGGCAAGCTCGACACACAGGTATTAAGATTGTTCAGCAAATTGCTATACTGATAGGCTGTGCCGTTCTTCCCCATTTGAGGTCTCTTGTGGAGATTATAGAACATGGACTAAATGATGAGAATCAGAAGGTCAGAACAATCACTGCCTTGTCATTGGCTGCACTTGCTGAAGCTGCTGCTCCATATGGTATTGAGAGCTTTGACTCGGTTCTCAAGCCTTTGTGGAAGGGTATTCGGTCTCACCGTGGCAAGGTCTTGGCTGCTTTCTTGAAGGCAATCGGGTTTATCATTCCTTTGATGGATGCCATCTACGCCAGCTACTATACCAAGGAAGTGATGGTTATACTGATCCGCGAGTTTCAGTCCCCTGATGAAGAAATGAAAAAGATTGTGTTAAAGGTGGTGAAGCAGTGTGTGAGCACTGAGGGTGTTGAGGCTGATTACATTCGAAGCGATATCCTTCCAGAGTTCTTCAGGAACTTTTGGGTTAGAAGGATGGCTTTGGACCGTAGAAACTATAGGCAGCTGGTAGATACAACTGTGGAGATAGCAAATAAAGTTGGTGTTCCTGATATTGTTGGCAGAATAGTTGAGGACCTGAAAGATGAGAGTGAACCTTATAGAAGAATGGTGATGGAGACAATCGAGAAAGTTGTAGCAAATCTAGGCGCATCTGATATCGATGCTCGCTTGGAAGAGCTTCTCATTGATGGTATTCTGTATGCCTTCCAGGAGCAGACTAGTGATGATGCCAATGTGATGCTTAATGGGTTTGGTGCGGTTGTTAATGCTCTTGGACAAAGAGTGAAGCCTTACCTTCCTCAGATATGTGGTACTATAAAGTGGCGTCTAAACAACAAGAGTGCCAAGGTGAGACAGCAGGCTGCAGATCTGATTTCAAGAATTGCTGTGGTGATGAAACAATGCCAGGAAGAACAGCTTATGGGGCATCTTGGGGTTGTGTTGTATGAATATTTAGGAGAAGAATATCCGGAAGTATTGGGATCAATATTGGGTGCTCTCAAGGCAATTGTGAATGTTATTGGTATGACTAAGATGACTCCTCCAATAAAGGACTTGCTCCCACGTCTAACCCCAATTTTGAAGAATCGTCACGAAAAAGTCCAGGAAAATTGTATTGATCTGGTAGGTCGTATTGCTGACCGTGGTGCAGAGTTTGTCCCTGCAAGGGAGTGGATGAGGATCTGTTTTGAGCTTCTCGAGATGTTAAAGGCCCACAAGAAGGGAATCCGTCGGGCTACTGTCAATACCTTTGGGTACATTGCAAAAGCTATTGGACCCCAAGATGTGCTAGCTACGTTATTGAACAACCTCAAGGTGCAAGAACGCCAGAACCGTGTTTGCACGACTGTGGCTATTGCCATCGTCGCAGAAACATGTTCTCCTTTCACTGTTTTACCTGCTCTGATGAACGAGTATCGTGTGCCCGAGCTGAACGTTCAGAACGGTGTGCTGAAATCCCTATCCTTTCTTTTCGAGTACATCGGTGAGATGGGGAAGGACTACATCTATGCAGTGACTCCACTACTCGAGGATGCTCTTATGGACCGAGACTTGGTTCATAGACAGACAGCAGCTTCAGCTGTTAAGCATATGGCTCTGGGAGTGGCTGGGTTGGGTTGTGAGGACGCTCTGGTCCACTTGCTGAACTACGTGTGGCCAAACATTTTCGAGACTTCACCACATGTGATAAACGCTGTGATGGAAGCCATCGAGGGGATGAGAGTCGCTTTGGGGGCAGCTGTCGTGCTTAACTATTGTTTACAGGGTCTGTTTCATCCTGCAAGGAAGGTTAGGGAAGTTTACTGGAAAATTTACAACTCGCTCTACATTGGTGCTCAGGATGCACTTGTGGCTGCTTATCCTGTGCTCGAGGATGAAGGAGAGAACGTATACAGTAGACCTGAGTTGACAATGTTTGTCTGAGGTGCTCGTTGCTTATGGAAGGAAGCAAGGAGAAGAAGAAAGCTCGCTCGCCTCTTCAATATCCACTAATATCATAGTAGATAAAATCTCTTTCTACTTCTTATCAACTGTTTGATCTTATTATGTGTTTAAACTACTTGTTGGGATCTGCTACTATTGTTCAATTTATGAATTGTGTCTGGAGTATATCTGTGTTGCATTTCATTGTTGGGATTCATGTGAATTTTTCTCCGTTTTCTTGTTTTCTTGGATGATAGGTACCTTGCTGCACGATCTAACGGGGTGCAGGGGAATCAACTATCTAGTATCTACACGTCGATCTGATCAAGGTAACTCGAAACTCACATAGGATAATTTCGAGATGTACGAATAGTTGAAGTCATTGTTTTTGTGGTACCTGGTGTCCATTTTCATTGATAACTTGTGTGACTTGGAAGCTAGGGTTTCCTTGGTGTCTTTTAACTATAGATGTTACAATCATTGTGGTCAAATTTGTCTTTGCTGCATGGGTTTTTTTAACATGAACTGTCAAATGTTGATGTCTAGGCCTTTTCTTGTTGCAAAATCCATAAACCATTCAACACTATTTGGTATTTAGTAGTTAAAAGCAAATGGTGTTGAATGGTGTTCAATCTGGCTACAAACCACATTTAGACGGGCTCTATGTGAGCCAGGTTAAACACAGTTGGAATGGAGATTGTGGTTACAAGGGTGTGTTTGGTGACCCATATATGACGGGACATAACAGTTGTTTAGTGTTTGGAGGCTGGTAAAATGACTAATTTATCTCTAATGTCTTTTCTGTATTTTGATTAATTTGTGTAATTTATTATATTGTAATAAGATAAATATTTTTTATAACAGAATATATGATAAGAAAGTTTTCGTCAAAGACGATAAAAATGACACCTTATTAGTTTTCAATTTTTGTTTTATTTCTTTTTTATATTATTTTTCATTATCAATATTTAATGAATTATATAAATTAATTAAAAATATAGAAAATGTATAAAAATAATATTTTGAGGATACTAAAGTGGAAGTTACGATAAAATACAGTAAATAAAATTTAAAAAATATATTAAATGTAAAGATGGATAAGTATTTGATGTTTTAGAAAAGAATCAAGTTTTTTCTTAGTGTATGATGGTTAAACTCTAGTTCCACATAATTAAGCCAAATGGTGATTCCTGTTTTATACTGTTCTGTTTAGTACACCAAACGCATCCTAAACCACAGTTGGATCAGGACCTGACCAGGTAACCAGTCAAATGGCTTGAATAACACAGCAGGATTACAGTTGACCAGTATACCATGGCTGGTTAGGCAGGATTAACCATAACTGGTTAGATGGCTTGGAATGGTTAGAAAGAACTGGGCGCCACGGACCTCACAGGTATCCAGTTGAGTTCATGAAACTGGTCTAATTTCGGAAAATTGTAACCGATGCTAAACCGGTTGGCCAATGTATAATGATTCTTCCTATAAACGCCATCAATTAATATCTATCCCCCAATCCTGAGTATCCTTCATTTCGAATACAATGTTGACTATAAAAATATCCCTCTGAATCGTCTATATATATTGTTTTCGTAGACCACCAAGTATATGCCCGTGTTATGAAATTTTGCAGCAAGTAAACAACGAATGCCTTTCTCTTTTCCGAGGAAACAGATGAAAGTGAAAAAAGAAAGAAGGCGGCGAACAATCGCTGATGATGTATTGGCATGTAGTTGATGGCCTAACATAAAGCAAATACGGTGACGCTTGGTATCAATCAGATCGAGGCATATGAAATGGCTTCTTTTTTGTTGAACACTTGAATATGATGTCTAAGACTAATCCTAAGAGGCCCTGGAGAAGAGTCTGGAAAATCCCAGTGGCCTTGCATGACTCGGACCATTATAAATGTACATCCTGAAGCTCTTATGAATTGTTACAACGTTGTTTCAAAGGTTGTGGCGTGCTATGAATGAATGAAGAGAACAAAAAAAAAAAAAGAGAAACTATTACAACTCTTATCGGTTCGAGAGAGAAATGTCACATTTTGTGTAGGGGTAAATTTAGCAACATGCTTTTTACCAAACGACCTATAGAGTCACCATCCTCACCAATCTTGTTGGGTAATATTTTATGAATTATTTGTAAACATCTTTTACCTATAAGCTCTCATTGGGTACTCGTTTCTCAATCCTTACTATTTTGGGTGCGATGAAAATAAGGGTTATGTTGTGAAAGAACCATTCAGTTCCTTTTTTGGAAATGTTTATAAAGGCCTAACAAATTATCTTTAATCCTTGGAACTATTTTTTTGATTGAGAAAATCATGGAACTTTTTCATTTTGAATGATTTAATCTTTAAAACATTTTTTTTATAATAAATAAATTGAATTTTTAAAAGCTGGTTGCCTACATCTTTTTAACAAAAAAAACTACATGTAATCGACTACAAAAGGTCTATGAGGGTTTGAATCCCTCCTTGTCCACGAACCGCCCAAAAGAGAAGGGCCTTTCCCTCTGGGGTAGAAAAATCATGATTGGAATAGTGGACCAAAAGCTATGGAAATTAGGTGTGAGTCTTTGTCGAAATGGAATGACCCTTTTATTTATTATTTATCATAAATGAGTGGAGCATTACACATGGTATGCCTCTTTCCCATCAACTTTCATCAACTTTTTTATTTTACACGCACGTAACTCTTCTTTGACCAAGATGAGGCTAAAGAAATCTCTTTCTTTTGAAAAAAATTACTTAATTGTTAAGATACTTAATTGTTCAAAGTAAAATATTTTGTTACGTTTTTCTCTTAACTTTTTTTTATTATCACAGTCCAACAAGTTGTTTAACAGGTTTTAGAATGTCCAAAGGCTTATTTGTTCCAAAAAATTGTCCAATGACTTAATCATTTCAAACACTAAAATCCATTAGATTTTTTAGACTTTTCCCTTAAATATATGTAAAACTTCATAAAGATGACTTAATAGTTCAGATAAATGCAAAATTAAAGTTGTATTAAAACGCCAGCACACATTTGTATGTATAAATTTTGAAGTATATGTATTAAGCCAAGTCAGGATTCAAAGCTGAGGCAAGTGGCTTAAATAATAATGAATCACGGTGTCATTGTTGAAGAATCAATTAGATTTTAAACTGATTCAGTATATAAATTTAGCAACTAACATCACCAGTAATCCTTCTTCCAACAAAGGATACATCGACTATTTGCACCTAATACCACACTACGGTTACGAGATGAATGCAGCTTCACAAACACCGTCAGCACGAGCAATTGAACACGGAACCGCTCAAGCACTTGGCTTTGTGAACCATCTTTTTGACGCTCGTCTCGCTGCTCGAAATAGAAGGCGATTCAGGGACCCTGTCCATCATGTTAATCAAAGGTGCATTCAGAACCACCTTTGCCGGAGACAACGCCCATTGCATACCCCAAATTGCAAGTGGTCTCATGTATACGAGCGACCGAAAATGCCCGTCCATTGTCCATCCTTCTGGTGTCTGAAATGCATACCTGCAAACACCAAAAAGAAAGGAAAAGATCATTTTTTTATTAACATGGATATCCAACCCGCTATGCGAGCCGACTAATCTCAGGACGACCATCGGCTTTGCGGTAGCCTGGAGTCGCCACATTTGAACCTCCGTGGCTACAAGACGATTTTTTATTCCTCCTTGGATTCGAACCTAAGACCTCCAGACACTTTTATGTTTGGAGCCCAAGCTTAGACCGAACGTGTGGTTAGAAGAAAGGAAAGAGAAAAGATCATCTTCAAGACATCCAAACACCAAAAAGATTATCTTTTAAGGCATACGTTTGGTATTCAGACGAGACATGAAGGTACAGACATCCAACCGATATTCAAAAGAAAGGTTGAATAGACTCACCCGAAACCGTCCTCCGACCAGCCAGCGGTAAATATACCTTCAGCAGTCGTCAACGCCTGTTCTTCCATCCCGGCGTGAATCATGGTGGCAGCAAGACCATACGTGACTCCTGCCCACACTTCACGGGACTGCATACAAGTTTCGTCGACTTTTCCGTTAGGATGCATACCATTTACTGCCCCCATCCTACCTCCTCCGACTTTCATAACGTTAAAATCGTAAATCTTTTGCAGGGAGCTACGAATCTTAGCATCATCGAAGAGATTCGGCAAGCCAGCGGCCGCCATATACCACTGACCTGCAAGCTGATCGGCTTGAATAGATTTGCTATTATTACTCGATCCGCTATCGTAGTTGAAGTATGATCCGTTCCACAGCTTTGCCTCAAATGATGCTTTCGCCTTGATGAATTTCGTTTTATACGCCTCGGCAGTGGCTCCATCGCCAAGCTGTGCCGCCATGGCTGCCGTAGCTTGAAGTGCAGCGAGCCATAAACAACCACAGTACGCGCTAACACCGTGAACGGTCCAAGCGTCGTATGTTTGATCCGGGAAACCATCATTTTCAATCAGACAGTCGTTATCTCGGTCAAATTGGTCCATATAAGCCATGGCAGCGCAAACGGCGGGCCACACTTCCGTTCCAAATGATAAATCCCCGGTCGCAGCAAAGTCACGGTACACTTGGATCACAAATTTCGGGTTCAAATCTTTCCATTTGCTCGTATCGTGTATGTTGTATGCATTCATCTCGTGCCATGGATCATGAGTTCCAAGATCATGCGGAATCGCTCCTTTAACTTTGCGAATTCCCCACTTTCCGTCTGCTAGAAACTTGACCTTTCTTGTGTCCTCAAATAACACGGCTCTAGCAAATTCCCGTTGAATGCTGAGTTCGATCTTCGGGAATAGCTCGAGAAGAGCAAAGGATGCGTAGAAATGAACATCGTAAGTACACCACATGACGTATTCCACGCCTTCTAAATAAAGAAAGCTCCCAACATCCTCATTGTCATTATACGATCCCGAATACAGCTCCAAAGAACGCTTCCGGTCCTCTCGCTCGGGAGCTTCAGGTTCGTCTTCACTAGAAGTCGTAACCGAACTTTCGTCATCATGTGCAAAACCATTGTCACCGATACCGTTATGACCACCATTTGTGTTCAATATCGCCTTCGGATGACGTTGCTGGCCGTGCACAAAATCAGCTGTTGGCAGCGGCGTGTCTGAAAAAGGAATTCAGTCACAAAAGATGACCACAAACCATAAATGTCAAATTATTTGACAAATTACTATAACAGATTACGCTCGACAGAGATTAGTACCGATCCAGACTGTGCCACCGGCAACCAAGAAGTAGAGCTCGTTGAATAACGTAAATTTATACCTGAAGACGAGCATATAAGAAACAAATCCGGCCAAAACAAGAAAACAATATAATGCCACACAGGACTTAAAGTTTATAGGACCAAACCACTGTATATCAAGGTGTTACAGTAAATAAATTGATAGGATGCTGCATATAAAGCATCTTTTAATCTTAAGGTTATTGGGAAAATGTGCTATAAAATAGAGTAAATTACACTTTATGTCCCTGTGGTTCGTTAAAAATTGCGGTTTTCATCTCTATGGTTTAGAAATTGCGATTTTCGTCCCTATGGTTTGAAATTCATTGCTATTTTCATCCTTATAATTTACAATTTATCGTTGTTTCGGTCCCCCAGGTTTACAATTCTTTACTCTTTCGGTCCCTTCTGCTTAAAGGTAGAAATTAGTCCATGGATGAAAATAGCAATAAATTGCACACCATAGAGACAAAAGTTGCAATTTCTAAACAAAATCAAAGTTATTAACAAACCACATGGACAAAAATCATGATTTACTTATACAGGACGCATAGTTGTTTGATTCAATAATCTTTAAGTCCTATAAAGTAGTCTATTAGAGGTTTTTTGATTGGTTTTCCATCAAGTCCTGTATAAATAAAGTCTGTCTTTGTGGAGGATTAATTTAGCTGTATACAGTGGGAAGATTTTTGTTTGGACCGGCTTTTTCATAAACGAAAGGAGCATGTTTCTTAATTGAAAGAGGCAGTTTGGAAAAAAAACTTCGTTTTCTACATAAAGCTCCCCCTGGAAGCTTACTGAATAAGTCACTTCCCATATCATTAAGCCACTACCAAAATAGCTGACCAAATAAGCTGCAAGTCCCATTGAGCTTATTAAGCTGCTAACAAACAATCCCTTAGACATCTTTGACGTCCTATAAAACTGATTTTGTTGTCATGACGCACGAGAGAATTTTCAATTGGAGCATTATAGTTCATAGAAGTTAAATTTACCATTCTGGTAGCTTGTCGTTTTTCAAGATCGGATTTTGCCACTTCTCGATCTCTTCTTCCCACCTCTTGTAATCTAACCAAAGTTTCAAAACGCAGCAAAGAAACAAATGAAAAACACTATCAACCATTTCCAGTTCGACATAAAACGATCAAGTTACCAGATTAGAGGGAATACTTGTTAGAGCATCGTGAACCAAGTTCTCGGCCGCCCTCTCAGAAGTACCATAATATCTCGTGTATCGCCTGCAAATATGAAGTTAAGAATCCAAGATAAATTTTGTTAAGCAACTCGTGACCATAGAACTGAACTCAGAAATATAAGTTTGAAAATTGAATATAATAACCTGTGATATGATTTCCCTTTCATAAACTTGACTTTCGGGGATGACCATGCAACGGCAAAAGCCACGGTGCAACGCCCATTTGGTTCGACCCATGTTGAAGCCGACACTGCAGCACAATTCGCATCCCCAGATGATGAAGGAACGGTTGGCCCAGAATTGAAGTTAGCCTGATCAAATTGTCCATCCTACAGACATACCAAGAGTCGGAAACAAGAAAAAAGAACAATGTAATAAGGCTCTGTCTGCTAATAATAGCTGAAAAGCTAGCTGATAAACTTATCATGTTCGTTAAAAAGGACTGGTTGATAAGAAAGCTAATCAAACCAATTTGATAGGACTTGAGGGTGCCTTCGGTACCCAGATAAGATATGACAGTTGTTCAGGAAAGAAAGGACCGGACTGGTAAAATGACCAAAAGTTGTTTATATTTTTTTTTATATCTTGATTAATTTATTAAAATTATAATAAAATAAATCTTTTTCAAAACAAGATTATAATGACACAAACATATGAAGTTCAATGATTCCCAGTTCTATTTTATAAATTTTCTATATTATTAATATTAAAAAAATTACATAAATCAACCAAGGACAGTAAAGTAAAAGTGTTTAAAGAGGATAAAATACGATAAATAAAATTTAAAGAACGGATAAAATGTAAAGAGGGAGCCGCAGTTGATATTTTAAAAGAGAATTAAGTTTTATTTTGAATGTTTATTGGTATAACATAGGTTTGTTCAACTTTGTTCCACTCGTTCAATCTGTTCCACATAAAATTCATGCCAAACGTGGAACAATGATTCTTATTCTGTTCTGTCTTGTTCAGTGTACCAAACGCATCCTAAAATAAGCTAGATGACAATGTAAAATGATCTAAAAGAACACATTGAACGTTTAATTGGAAAAAGGTGGAAAAAACCTCGGAGCTTATTAAATCGCTACTTGAAGTAGCGTTTAAAAATGCTAGCCTTTGGCTAACCAAATAGGGCTTTTTCATTAAGCTAAAAAATAAACTAGCTTATGGTTGTGGCCTAAAGCACATAAACATCATGAATCAAGGTCGTATAAAAGATGTTAAAAGGCAGAAATGTAGCAATTACATCAAATACGATCATTTACCTGCGCCATTTTACCCCACATTTCTTTTGCGGTAACAGAGTTTCCTTCAGACAACCCAAAACTCGGTAGAACCGTCACATTTACATTTTGGGTTTCACAGGCAGCTATGGCAAAAGTAACGGGATGATTCTGTTTTGCCGTCCTGCAAATCCGCCATCATCGTCATCAAAACAATAAAGATCCATCTTTAGATAAACGATGAACATATTGAAGTACCCAAAAGTCCAATTCTCACGAAGATTCTTGGCCGATAACTTACTTGTGATGTAGGAGCACACCGGAGACTCCATCTTCACCTCTGTCATTATAGGAAACGGAAAATTTTAACGTATACGCAAAATTACAAAGCTGCCCATTCGTAAAAACAAGTAAATTAGACTCACATGAATGGTTCATTCACATGGTCTCCAGAAAGATGCGAGATACCTCCGATGGAGTTCTGTACAACACAAATACAACAAGTGAAATTCAAGAAACGAACTCCGATAGGCTCAAGATGGATGTCGGGGTAGAAGTGGAATTAGACTTACTGCCCACGTTAAGAGAAGGCTGACTTGTGCCCTTTCCTTCCCGGTATTCACCAACTAACGGAAAAGAATGTAAAGACTGTGTAATTAGTTTACAATAACGGTAGAAGGGGAAAGTTGGATCACAATTATTTGGATTGTTTACCGTATAAACAAATACAGCAGTTGGAAGACTACTATCTCGATAATTATGAGGTAAAAATGGTGAAATTTGGCGACATGACACTTTTAGGTCCGGGTCCGGTTCACCTGATTATAAGCAAAAAAACAACATATCTCATATGATGGGGACGGAAAATGTAATAAAATGTTTTCCGAAATAATACCATCATAAACTGTCCATGCTCGTGGGAATAATGCGTGATACGTGGAATGCTGGCCGCTCAAATTCCATCCCCATGACGATAAACCTTGATCTGTACATTTTCTGGAATACATATACACACACAAACACACAAACACATACGTTATCACACACGAAAAAGGAAGATCAAGAAAGTTCGAGAGTCGGGATTTATTATCCTCTTACCCTATCCCTTCATGTTGGCCTGGAGAAAGAACCGATGCATATTTTTTATGGCCACCTTCTCTCGATATAAAAATCTGCAGTTATACAAAGCAATTTAGAATTAAAAGAATCTGGCATGATTTGATGTTCCTTGAAAAGCTAGAAAACATCTAAAGCCGTGTTCTTAAGTTGAGAATCATTTCCTACAAATTCACTTGCATACATCAAATGCTTTGTTCTTAAGAGTGTGTTTGGTATGCAGACGGACTGAACCAGACCGGCAGGAGTGAGGTAAGCAGACGGAAGAAGTGTAGGGTTTTAGGATTTAATTTGACAGGGGTACTTTAGTAATTTACCAATCTTGTCCTATCTCCCTATTTTCTGTTAAAAATTGCATTTTTGTCCCATTCAATCATGTACCAGCCTTACGGGCTGTTTGGTTGGTTTTCTGTTAAGTTCTCTATGGATAACACTGTCTGTGTAGATTAATCTATCTGTATAAATTAGGAAGGTTTTATCATAGATGAAAGGTGAGTGATTTTTAATTGGGAGGGGAGGGTTTGGAAAAAAACTTGGCTTTCTGTATAAAGCTCCCCCTAAAAGCTTATTGAAGAAGCTATTTTCTATATCATTAAGCCATTATCAAACACTTACACATAGCTAACTGAGTAAGTTGCAAGTCCCATTAAGCTCATTAAGCTGCTAATGAAAGACCCTTAATATCACATCAAAACGTCGAACAATAATCTATCCGGCCTACCAAATGCACCCTAAATGCTCTACATAAGTTTTACTTCAATGTCTTGATGAAGGCATAAGCATACACTTATCTAATTATTTTACGAAATGTAACAAGCATACGATTATAAATGATAAAATAGAGGCAGAGCTTTACAGAGAATTGATTGGCCATCACCGGAGAAGAATCACATGTACCCGGAATGATTTGGAATTGCCTGAATTCTCCTCTAAAACCTCTAGTTATGCTGCCACTTCTGAAGAACATAAATGGAAACTTATCAAATACACACTCCTAATGAAAATATAGCATTCTACGGGGGCTTAATCGTTTGAGAGCTCCAAAATTTGTGAGATCAGTGAGAACTTTCACATGATTTTTTCCACCTAAGTATAGTATACAATGTACTGGCCAACATATATTTGTTTCACAATGTGTTTGTTTTATATATATCCGGTTCAAATGTGAAACTTTCTTATTGTGTGTTTTTTGTTTCACAAGCCTGCGAAAAATGTTCACATTGTCAACCGTGTACATGTGAAACAAATATATGTTTAATCACTACATTGATATCTAGTCGTACATGAAATGGCCCATGATGCACTAGTTCCCAAAGATCTCACGATATAGGGAGAGCTCAAAAGAAGGTCCCTCAATCTATGAACTCCTTTTTAGCTCAAAACTTACCCCATCCCACCAAGTGGAACCCCTTGGCTTGCTAATGGCTTTCCTTCACGATTGAACGGATCAATGGGTGCCCTCTGCACATATTAAGCCAAAACTCATCCAGAATTCAATACAATTAAAAGACAGATTCAATGCCCACTTAGGGTTCCGTATCTCAATTATCTCAAGAACTCTAATGAGCTTGATAGCCTGTTTCTTAGCAGCTTAATGGACTCGCAGCTTATTCGGTCAGCTATAGATGACTGTTTAGTAGTGGCTTAATAAAAACAAAAACCTTCCCAATCTATGGAAACAGATTAATCCATACAGACAACTTTATCCATACAACACTTGATGAAAAACCAACCAAAGATCCCCTTGAAGGGGAATGTTTGGAAAAAAAATCTGGCTTTCTACAAAAAGCTCTCCCCTACAGAATAAACCATTTTCCCACTCCCAAACCAACACGTATAGCTGACCGAATAAACTGACTCTTGTTAAGCTGCTAACAAACATGTCTAAGTTTATTTCCAAGAATAAATTAATGATATAGAAGATGAAGATGGATAAAGAGGGTTACCCTTCCATGGGAGGCCTCTTCTCTTACATATGACCACAAACGTATACCAAGTGTAATCTGCAATCAATAAGCTGAGAAATAAGAGCCATAAACCTTCTTGTTATGAATTGATAATACAGATTCTTTCAAAACAATAATGAATCACCATTTTAATTGCTTCCATAAAAGTAATGCTGAACTCCTTGAGAATACTAGCATGGGTGTTTAACTTCCTTCTCCATGCTTGTTCAGGAGGAGCGCCACTATCAAAATCAAGCTGTATCCACAAATCATCAACTTCAAATTCTTAAATTCTTCAATAATTAACAAAAAGAGATTGCATTTTTATTGCTACATACAATTCTTGAAAACAACATAGGATCTAAAGAAACTTAAAGATGGTAAAGATTCAACTCACCAGTTGCAGACTTGTCCGATTTATATATTCTTCAGGAGGCCATGAATTCTTTCTAAAATGGAAGATATTCCCACTAACCATGTCGACTAATTTATATGATTTTATTAAGCTTTCTTTTGTGTGTGTGTATATATATATGTATATGTATACCCCTCTTTTCAAGACAATCTATAACTAAGAGAAACCCAGATTCAAAATGAGCCCTTTCTCAATCTCAAAAAAGGGTATGATTACAACTTATAACCTAACCCCAAATGGCTTCAAATCAATCGAATTTTCAACACCTACAAACAAGTGTCTTCAACTCCAAACAAACGTCAAAATCTAAATCCCGAAAAGTAAGAAAAAGAAAAAGAAAAACTCTTCACAATTCTTCAAAAGTATGAGCTAAAACCTCAAATGCGGTGTTAGGGTTTGCCGGCGATAGGCGTATAGTTAGCCGTTGAGTGGGAAAATGGGATCGCAGCCACCAATTTAGAAGAAATCAACCGACCAGAAGTGAAAATTGAGTATAAATAGATTGGGAAAAGGAGGTGGAAAAGAAATTATAGCATTGGGTTTTGGGGTGCGATGGAGTGACCGACGTCGGAGGATGTTACACCTGGGAAGCACGACGTGCAACTTCCGCCATGTGTTATGAGAATAGTAAAAGAATGCAAGTCTTTAATGCCTCAATCTTGAAGCCAAATTTTCCACAAATCCCAAAGAAAAAGGGATTTGGTTTTATTTGTATTTATATTTATCTTGAGATTTATTAAAAAAATAATACTTTTAATAAAAAAAAAATAAGTGAAGATTTTGCAATTTTTGTTTAAGTGGATTTTCTAAAAAAAATTAAAATAGAAAAAGTAAGATAAAGAGGATAAGATTATTTGAATTTGAAGAATTCTCATAAAAAAGCAAATTTATTTTTATTTTTTATAATAATAATTTTTTTGAAATTAAATATAATGAGAGAAAAATAATATTTTATAAAAAATATTGAATATTTTAATATATGATTTATATTGTAATCTCCGGAATGAAAAAACTGTTAGAAATAAATATAATTGTTTTTGACATTTTGATCTTTAATTCTTTATTTTCGAGAAACTATTGGAATTGCTCTAGACTATACTAGATTATAAAAAATTTAACAAAAACTTTTAAAACCCATTTTTTATGTATTAAAGATTATTTAGTGATGCATGTTACTTAAAATTCAAGATTACAAGTAATTGTGCATAATTACAACTTGTTAAAGCTTCATGTTTGAATTCATGTAACCAACTGTAGATAAACATAATTATAGGATAAACATCTCACTTTAAATATATAAAATATAATTAGGATAATCATTTATTTCTAACAAAATACTTAATTATTATTTTTATATAAAAAGTTATATTATTAAACCAAAAATAATTTTTTTTAAAGAAATACACAAAAAAATAGAAATTCTAAATAGTTAATTTGGTACCAATATCACATTTTTTTAATTTTTTATGATATATATATTTATATTTATATTTTATTCAAAAATAAAAACATTATCGTTTTCTCAAAACCATATAAAACCGTATTATAACATCGACTGAGACAAAAAAATAAAACGAAATATTAAAATCAAAATGTATCTTGCTGCATTGTATGAGTACCCTTCTAGTTTAACTAAAATCTAAAAATCGAAAGTCAAAGATCTATAAAAAAATAAGTTATATTTAACTCAAATAGATTATTTATTTTAGTGATTTCAACATTTATTATATTATATAAATTTATTAGCCAAATACATTTTTTTTTAAATTTATATAAATAAAAATTTATTTTCTCTCTCGACACATCAATTTTTAGAGAATTCTTTAAATTTAAAGCTTTCCCTAACTTTCTTAATTTGATAAAACAATGTGTTTGTGCAAAATAGAAAACAAAAGCCTCATTTTCTCCATTCAAAGGATGTTAAAATGATGTAACATTTTATGTATTTTATGTTGTTTCTAAGTACCTAACAAAAAATATAATACATTTGCCACATCAGTAGAAAGTGTATGTCAATTAAAATGGGTGGTGACAGACGATGGTTTCACTAGTTTTGGGAATGCGTCGTTTCCTTTTGTTATTATTGTTCTTTCATGGAGTCAAAAAACAATATGATTCATAACGATGTATTTGGAAGAAAAAAAAGGATGAGTATAAGGCAAATGAAAACTATTAAATTATTGATTAAATAAGTTTTCGGCTCATACATTAAACCAAGATGCCAACATATTTATTTACTTTATCGAATAAGTCATAAATCATATTTTACTTATTAAACTATAACCGACCCCAACAATTGATAAGTTTTTATGTATATAAATATATATAGGGTTGTGTTCCAATGAAAAGAGGTGAGAAATATAAGAAGTAATCTTCACTCTTAGATGCACATTGGTGCATCCATCCCCTTATCAAACACGATTCATGAATAGGTTTGAGATTAAAAATGATCAAGCGTCTAAATTTCTTCTTATGCTTCTCACATTAACTTTCTCTCTCTCTCTCTCTCTCTCACGATCTTTCACCTATACATATATAGAAAGATGATCGATAATGCTAACTATTTAAGAAAATACGAAAATGTTCAAATCATGTGCAGAATCACAAATGAGTTTACATTAACGGTAAAAAGAAGTGTGCAAACGACTTGGACCACATGGGCAAAGTCACATAAATCACATCTGATTTTATACGTGATGCTAGTGTAAAATCACATATGACAAATGATTCAACCGTTTTTGTATTCTTTTAAATAAGTATCATGCTGGTTTAAACCCGACTATATATATATATATATATATATATATATATATAATTAATTAATTTATTCAAATAAAAAAACAATTAATATGTTTATTTTTTTAATAAATGAATATAGGGTTTTAGTACGAATGGTAAGGAGTTGTGTTTGTTAGTATAGGCCCTACAAAGACATGTGAAAGGGTATAATTGTACCCCTTAGCCGACCAATCTCACATCTTTTTTTCAATAACAATACAAATATTTCACAATCACTTAACCTACCCTCCCCCAATATCATTCATATATAAATATTATATATATATATATATATATATATATAATATTACACCGACTAAAATTGAATATAATGGCCAAAAAGTTCTTTCCCTAAACTTTTCAATATTATTGTAATCAATGTTGTAAAATTTATAGCATATTAGTTTAAAGAATTTTCACATTTTTGGACTCTCTAAAAACACCTTAATCCAACTATCAATAATTATTCCAATACATAAAAATAAGGATTCGAGTTTTTAACGAATTGTTCAAACTCGTCTATCTCAAGTTCGAGTTTAATAATTATCGAGTTTGAGTCGATCTCGAACATAAAATAAAGTATGTTTAACTTAACGAGTCGAGCTCCATAACACCAATATCCGACTCGTTCGAAAGCTCGATTAACTTTACAAGTCGAATCGAGTCAACTCGACCATACCTTTTTCCGAGACTAACATATTTATATGCTTACAAATTATATAATCAAAATATAAATTATCAAGCTTAAGTAAATAAACGAGTTAATCAATCTCAATTCGAGCTCATAAACGAGGATCGAGCTCGAGTTCAAACGTTCAAAAAATATTTAAGCCCGATTTTTTCGAGCAGGACTCAAATAATCTGCTACTCGATTCATTTACACCCCTACATAAAATTAAACAATTTTCAAAACCATAAAAAAATAAACTTTAATTGCATCAATAACTACAAGACATCTAAGTCATACAAGTAAAGATCACATGAACGTATTGGTTCACGTAAGAGTACACGTAAAATATCAAAGGAGCTCTAGTTTATAATCAGATGAATGAACCGTCAAGTAAGATCGGTCCAGGATTATAGGATCCTTTTCTATCATCTTCTTATTGACATATTTTTGTAATTTAATAAATAACATCTAAATCAAATTCAAGACTTTAAATTATTTTGATAAAATTTCAAGCATTTAAATGAAAAAAATAAATATATGAATGTATACATAGGAGGGTATCTCTAGAATAGAGTATCATTTTGTTGAGAACATATCATTCTACTTGTTAAATAAACAAATCCATAAAAACAAGTTGGATCTGGTTGTCTTAATCAAACAATAATCATGGGTCACTTCTACACTCCAAGACATGAAAGAGAAGCAAGCAATAGACCTATGAATTGACTTGTGTGCATGTATTCTAGTTTTTGATGGGGCTATCTATGTCTTTTATATATTTTCTGTGCCTTTCCCATCTTCATTCATGTAACAATATCAATATTTATATTTAAGACCTTTAGATTAGTCATAACCACCCAAATATTACTTCTTTTTATCTCCAAAACACATAGTTTCATAAAAGTTTTTAGCTTATGACCAAAAACACCTTGAAAAACTTAAAATGTATTTCTAATAGATTATTTATTTTATAAAGAGAAATGGAGATTTTGTTCTCTATTTTGCTTTAATAGATTTTTTTATATTGTTCAGAAAACTTCAAATTTAGATGATTTTTCTAAAACTTGATGTGAGGAAAGAGAACTGATTTTTTATTTACTATTGTCACCAATAGAATTGAATTATTACTATTTTCTATAAAGGTCTTTAAAAGTGTATTGAAATGATAAAGTTATAAAATATTTTAATTATGCAATTAATGTTGAAACGAGTTAAAAGATTTTAATTGATTCTCTATTTAAAAAGAATCATAAAGCATCTGTTAAGATGTTACTAAGGCATGTCCAACATATTAGATTCCTCGAGAATCAAAAGTTAAAGTCTCCTAAAAATATTCATATTTATCTCCAACAACTTTTTTATTTTGAAGATTACAATATATAAATTATATTATTAAAATATTTAATATCTTTAACAAAATATTATTTCTCTCTCCTATACCTTTAATTTCAAAGATTCTCATTAGTAGAAACAATAAAAAATAAATTTGTTTTCATAGGTAATAATTTTTAAAGAATTCTCCAAATTTAAAGAATTTTACCTTCTCTTTTCTATTTTCTCCATTTTAAAAATTCGATCGTAGGAAAATTCCCTTAAATGACCATTGTAAAAAATATGCTGAAGATGCTTTTATACATCAATATTGATATTATCAATATCTAATAACAAAAACTAAGATAATAGAAACTGAAATCCAACTTAAAGACTACTGTATTTTCTTAAAACAACACAATATAAAACCTGCAAATTATTATATTTGTTTTCAAAGTAAAAGACATGTGAGCATGGCAAATAAAAATGCTGGGGTTTGTATGTATTAGATCAGGTGAGCTGGGCATACAAATAAATCAATGTGGCTCCACTAATTATGTTTTATATCTACTTGGATTTTTGGTACCATGATTGATTACCCAACAATTGTGATCTACATCTTTTAATCTTTTAGCTTGAATATATATATATATATATATATCAGATCAATTAATAGATGAACACATTTTGAATCAATTATGTGAAAATTATTAGACAATACCAATGTATTAATCAATCAAGTAACTATACAAAAGAGGGTATATCATATTATCATCCTATGTACACCAATAGAATTTGCAAAATTTGAAGCATAATTCTAGAGCTAAAGGCTTGCATTGCTTTTTCTTTATGGTTTATGACAACTTTAGACCAATTAATCCATAAGATTCATTGGAACATACTCTATAAAGATCAGACAACCTCTTTTAATTAGTTGAATATGATCCTTAACAAGTTGATAACATTTATGGTATCGAGATTACTAATCCTAACCCACTAGACCGATTGTTCTTAAAATGTTTGTTTCCACATATGTATGATGTTTCGGCTGGGCAGGAAAATTTGACATTTTCATAGAACATAACTTGGTTCATAGTGCAAATGTTAAAATGAACCTAATTAATATAAAAGGTGTACCTTTTCAGGATTAAGGCCACTATTATATCGAATGGGAACCAACTCTTGTTGGTGCACTTGATGGTCCATTCTTCGGGCTGATTGTTAAACTAATGCCAATCAAGTCCACCCAATGTGGCCGTGCCCACTCCCTCCCACACTTCATTGAAACCCACTTCTTCATTGTCAATGCCTTCCATATCGCTGTCCCACCAACCACTGCCACTTGCATCTGTTCATGGACAGCAATTGATCCGATATTATTACATTATATATGAAAAGTTATATACCTGTTTTCAAATGCTTGAAATTTTAGAGATGTGGTACTTACAGTGATTATAAAGAGGCAGTGGTTTCTCGTTTTTGATGAAGGATTTCGGATATGTAGTTTGCTTCGGCCTTGGATCATCTCCCAGAACAACCAAACCCTTTGGAGCAGGTTGTTTACCATGAAAGCCTTGTGATCATGAGAAACACGCAGATGTAAATGGACTAGATACTTGGAGATAATATGTATACACACAAGAAATGGGACCCCCACCAAAGAATATTGCATGATAATCGAGGAACAATATTCAAATACAAATATAATGCCTCAATAAAAAGGTTGTCATACAGAACCTAGAGAGAAAATTACTCTTGCCCAAAAAAGCATTACATTGATCTACAAAGGGTCTTGGGCATATACTGCATATGTTCAACGATTAGAATCCACTTTACGCTAAGAGTAATCAATTTTACGCTTAATATGTTGATAAGTCTTTTCACTTGGGGTCTTGGTGTTTAGCTAATGCTTTCAGATAATGGCAAAAATAATAATAATGAAATTCAAGAAGAAAAACAGAAAACAACGAAGATGCAGCGACCCTATGACAAACCTCCAAATGCGTTTCTTCTTTTACTCAAATCCTGAATTTGGGATTCTTTGATCACATGCATGCTAGGACTATTTGCAACCTCATCTTCTGGATTGAAGCAACTATTATCTTCATTCTCCTTATTGTGCTTGAACTGTTCAAGAACTATGTCAAGGATACCATTCAACTCTCGTCCCTCAGTTTTCTCGTCTGCATTTGCTCCATCAATGGACCGCTTAGCACCCACACTGGTTCCTGGTGAGAGAAATTGTCTCTCTTTACCCTGATAACAGCTATAACTGAGTTCATAATCTCATCACACTGAAAAAGAAAAAAACGAATCTATAACAGTTTAGTAATTATCTTATGGCCAGAAATTCAAGTTCCTAAAAAGTCCAACAAATTTGTTAGCTCGTTCTAACTAATGACTCATTCCCTCCATAGTCTGCATCTTGAAAGTCATCCTTTCCACACAAAAATATCAACCTCAAGGGGGAAAGTAGGAAAGCACTTGAGTAACACTTCACAGCTTCACTTTGACATGTTGCGTTCCATTATTAGATTCATTTAGTCCTAAAATCTATTATGAAAATCAAAAACAGCTTCAAGGAAGCCTAGCAATGTTCTTGACCACAATGTGCACCTATGGTTACTGAAACATTATGGATGTATCTCCAGAATCATGCATTCATTTTCCAACATGTTCGAGTTTCAAACCCAAACTTTGACCTAATATAATAGGAATCAAATATGAATAAATGGAGGACGGATATAAACAACGTAATTTCAGGACAAAAGCGATATCCTGTTGGTTAGGAATCTTATATCAGAGTACACTAACACAACAGCTTAAAACCATCCTCTGCATATACATATCAATAATGAGCACATCCTAATAACGCTAATCTCTGGATGTAGAAAAGCACACTAGCTTCAACAATCTGTGATCACCAATCTACAGTTCGGTTTAGAGAACAGCTTTTGGTCATACACTCGTACTCCATTTACAATTTAATTACCATAATGAGGTTTGGCAAAATCCTTTTGAAATTCAGTAGAGAAAACCTGGACTAATTTGGATGGATCAGAAGTTTTCTGCAGCTTCCGATCAAGGAAATCCGATAGTGAAATCTTCGCACGCTTCTTGCTTCCACTTACATTCTCCAAACTTTCCCGACCATCATTCAACCTGTAATTTAAAGCAAAAAGATCTAAAAACACCATTGCAACAAAAGTAACAGTTACCTGAAATGGAAGCTAGGGTTTGTGGAACGCTTACTGGTCATCAGTGGATGTCCGATTGATGAACGTCGACGGAATTGATCGTTGTCCACGAACCCTAATCCGTGAGTGATTATAACTCATCTCTTTCTTTCAATCTCTCGATTGATTTTGGTCGCAAACTCGTATCCAACCGAGTGAAATTTTGGCGCTAAAACTTGAACACCTTCATCGATTTCCTCGATTGAGTTTTTGAGATGAAATTTGGGCTCCCCGGACTGGATTGAGTTGGGCCCAATGGATCAGCCCAACTCATTGATTTACAATTCTTTACAACTGTTTTTCTCTCAATGGTGTGTTTGGTATCCAGACAGTGTATGTCAGGATAGGACATAACAGAACATGACGTTACAGTTGTTCAATGTTTGGTATAACATAACTGGATATAAGTATATAACAGAACAAATAAAATGATCAATTTACCTCAAATGAGTTATTCATATTTTCTAATATTTTGAATAATACATGTAAGTTATTAGATTATAAAAAAAATATAAACAATTAACAAACTATATCATTGGAAGTTATCGTCAAGACAATTAAAATGACATAAAAATAAAAATTTATGTAGTTGCCAATTTTTACTTTATACATTTTTTATATTATTTTTTTATTATTAATATTTAATAAATAAAATAAATTATAACCAAAATATAGAAACCGAATATAATATAATATTATGAGGACCATAACGTGAAAATTTAAATAACAACAAATACAATAAATAAAATTTAAATAATGAAAAAGATATAAATAAGAACATGTATTTAATGTTTTAGAAAATAATTAAGTTTTATTTCGAAATTATATTCTTAAAACAGGTGTGTTCCACTTTGCTCAATGGGGTGGGGATGAAACACGTATGTTCCACTATGCTTTTGTATGTTCCACATAAAAGTTTCGTCAAACGTGAAACAGTGATCATTGTTTTGTTTTCTTCTGTCATGTTTAATGTAAACACACCTTAAAAATTAAGAATTAGCACAGAAACAAAAATAACAATAAAATTGTAAACAATAGAAAAAAAAAAAGGCAAATTGCATGAAAAAATAATGTATTTTAACTTAATTTTTATTTTGGGTAATGTACTTTCAAAATTTTAATTATGTACCTAAGATGTAAAGTTTTATTCATTTAAATACTCAGGTAACCGGTTGAAGCATTAACCGGCTACCATGCTGAATGGCGAGTGATGTGGTATCCGGTTAATGCTTCAACAAATAATACTGAGTTGGATACCACATCACTCGTCATGTCAACATGTAATCGGTTAATGTTTCAACCGGTTACTCAGGTACTAAATATTTAAAACTTTAAATCTTAAGCACCAAAATAAAAGTTTTGAAAATATGTTACAAAAAATAAAAATCAAGTTAAAATGCATTACTTTTTCATATAATTTAACTTAGAAAAAAAAAATCATAAATTTTAAAGTCATCATTTACTCTAATTTCTCTTACATAATTAATTTATGTTTTAATTTAATTTTTTAATGTGATAAAAATATATAATATGGGTCACCGTCGCTATGACTCATGATCCATTTAACACATGCTTTTAGCTTTTATGTACATTTGATTGTGTTTCTTTATACAAATATATTTAACACACAACAAAAATGTGATTAATAATTAAACATAATAAAATATTTTAAGGATATTTGTTTGTTTCTGAATGGTGTTATTTAGAGGTCTATTTTTGAACTAATTTGGTATCATTGTCAAGCATCTATAAACCATCCAGCTCTTTTTTTTTTTTTATTACCCTTTTCTTTTCTACGTTGTTCTTTTGTCATATAAAAGTTATCGCCACCACTTATTGTGTAAGACTCTTGGTCCTTGCATTCGTCCTTACCAGGTAAGCTTTTTGATTCTTGTCATATTCATCCGGTAAGAGAATTTGACTTGGTAAGCACTTACCCGGATAATTTTGGTAAACGGCCCCTAAAAGTATATATTAAAGCAAAGCATGATTTTTTAGTTCCCTAATTTGATAATTACTGAAAGTTTTTTTTTATTAACCTGGATATCCAACCCGCTATGCGAACCGACTAATCCCAAAATGACCACCCGCTTTACGGGTGGCCCGGAGTCACCGCATTTGAACATCCGTTGGTACAAGAGGATTTTTTATTACTCATTGGATTCGAACCTGGGACCTCCAGACACTTTTGACCTTTGGAATCCAAGCTTAAACCAATCGGCCACCACCTTTTGTGGTTATCTTTATTGCATTAAAAAAACATCTGGTTGAAAATCTTAAAAATTATTTGTTAAACATAATGCTTACTGATGCATAAGCATTTTTTATTTGAAGTTTACAGATAATTACTATTAGTATACAATTTGTAAGGTTCACCATCTGAAAGAACTCACTAATAACAATAATTATGACGTTCAATATATGTTTGTCCTATCAATATTCATCTGTTGACCACATCTATCTAAATTGGCAAAATTCCGAAGCCAATCAAAAATCAAATCCAAAATTTCAAATCGACATTCGACTTGCTCAATGTTTGTCCAAAATTCCAATCATTGTTAGTGGAATTGTTTAACATTTTCTCAACTTGCTCAACTCAACGTTTTTTACGTTATAGAGATAGATTCTCTCTTATGATACGATACAAAAGTTTCATTTTGAATATACATGTTATGTTTTACTAAGTTTAAAACCCATAAAAGACCCAAACCACCTAAATCGATCAAAACAGACCACCTTTTTGTGGTCCAGTTTGACCAGTTTGGTCATTTGCCGCCAAACCATTCGGTTTGGAAACTTTTCTAAACTGTCATCGTGGGTTGGTTTGTGGTTTGGGGGGTTAAACCGACCAAACAGCACCACGAACACCTCTATTATTAGCATCAAGAGAACGCAAGTGTTGATGAGTTTGACATTAAACTGAACAAATACAAGATAATTCAATCTTTGACTATCAAGGCTATTCCTCTTCTTTGCATGTATCTAAACAAAAAAAGAAGTTAAATATAAAATTATCAACAGATATGTCCACATGTTAAACTGTTATTAATAATATTTAAAACATATAATCAATTATCCACTCAAAAGCACTCCAATTTCTTTCACATCCGGAACAACGATTGTCAACAAAAGAATCTTTATGGTCATCTTTTTCAAAGTTGGGGTGACATTTCCATACGTCATCCACCAAGTAACTACTCAAATAAAAATAAACGCATGTCGGAAATAAAAGAGTTTAAGATCTAAGTCATGTAACATCTAAGAAAATCGGGTGGCATTTCCATAACGAGATCCAATCCACGACTTATGTCCACGCCAAGGGAGATAACGTGGCGGCAAGGTCACGCCTCGCCATTTCCTTTGATTCTCTTTTAATTCATCTTATTTCCCGTTTTCATTTTTCGCCCTTGAAGTTTATCGAAATTTTCTATTTTCATCTGTTTACAATTAAAATTACATTTTTATCTTTATAATTAATAATTCATCATTGTTTTCGTTCATATAATTTACAATTTATTGTTAACGATATGATTTACAATCCATTATTGCTTTTATCTATATAGTTTATAATTTATTTTTCTATTTTCATCCCTCGTACATGGACAAATATAGCAATAGATTACAAAATATTGGAATGATAACCACAATTTTGAAAGAATAGGGAAGTAAATTTAATTTATCAAACCAGAGGGACTAAAAACGTAATTTACTTCAGCAATTGGTCCCCTTGGTTAAAAGAAAACGATAGAGATTGGATGGAACAAACACTGATACCACAAACGGTTCGAATATTCATGTCGTTTTCCGGTAGTCACGGAGGGTTTCAACGGCGGCCGGAGCATCCATGTGTTTACCAGCTCCCAGATTCGTCGAATCCAGATTGGAAGTAAACTCCTTCTCTGCATCTCTATCTTATTTAGTCAACGGTTCAGGTCGCCGCTTCTACAAAACCCTAAAATTTCCGATTCCTGCCGGCGATTCCTTCAATTTCTTCACCAAGTATTCTGATTCTTAATGATACACACTTGATTCAAAGCATATTGATTCAATTTTCATATGCTTTAAATCAGTCTCGTTACGTTTCTGGAACCTAAAACCTTAAATACCATTTTAGGGTATTGTTTGTTACGTACTTGTTTGGTTGAATAAACTTGAATTAGGTTGAAGAATATGGAGGAGGATCTCAAGGATTGTCGTGTGGAAAATGAATCAACCGACACGGTGTTCAATTGTGTTGTACCGTACATTCACGACGGCCGTGACCGGAATTCCTTTTCTCTGGTTTGCCGGAAATGGTCTGAGCTCGATGGTACGACTCGGAAGCATGTAACCGTTCACATGTGTTACTCCACTACACCGTTTCGTCTCCGGCAACGCTTCCCGCTTCTCGAGTCGCTAACCCTAAAGGGAAAGCCTCGAGCTGCCATGTGGGATTTAGTCCCAGAGGATTGGGGTGGTTACGTCACTCCATGGGTTCGGGAAATCTCTAGTTCATTCAATTGCTTAAAGTCGATTCATTTCCGGCGAATGATTGTTCGTGATTCGGATCTAGAACTCTTGTCCCGGACTCGGGGTAAGGAGCTTAGGGTTTTGAAAATTGATGTCTGCTCTGGGTTTTCCACAGATGGATTATTGCACATCGGTAGGTACTGTAATAATTTAAAAATTTTGTATTTACAAGAAAGCTTGATTGTTGAGAAAGATGGGAAATGGTTACACGAATTGGCTCTCCATAACACCTGCATCGAATCATTGAATTTCTATATGACGGATCTTGTTAAGTTTGATTTCAAAGATCTTGAAATCATTGCCAGAACTTGTAGTGAATCTTTAGTGTCTGTTAAGATTAGCGAATGTGAACTTATGGATCTTGTAGATTTCTTTAGCCATGCCATCAAGCTACAAGATTTCGGTGGTGGTGCATTCAGTGATCAACCAGAGAAATACGCCGGTTTCAAGTTTCCTCAGAAACTGCATTCGGTGGCATTGAATTACATGAGTCAATCCGAAATTCCGATTGTTATCCCTTTCGCGCATCAGCTAACCGAATTAGATCTTCTATATTCACTGTTTGATACAGAAGACCATTGTTTCTTGATTCAGAGGTGTCCCAATTTGAAAGTTCTGTATGCCAGAGATGCCATAGGGGACATAGGATTGCAAATCGTAGGTCAGTTTTGCAAGAAATTGCGCAGAATCAAGATCGAAAGAGGAGCCGATGAAGAAGGGTTGGTTTCACACAGGGGACTGATTTCTCTAGCACAAGGATGTCTTGAATTGGAATGTTTACATGTTAATGTCACAGATATTTCAAATGAAGCCATGGAATGTATCGGGTCTCACTTGAAAAACCTCTATGATTTTCGAATAGTTTTGCTTGACAAACTAGAAAAGATACCAGATTTACCTTTAGACAATGGGATTCGATCCCTGCTAAGTGGTTGCACCAAACTCGGACGACTATGTGTCTACCTCCGGCGTGGTGGATTAACGGATGTGGGTTTGGGGTATATTGGGAAATATGGTCAAAATGTGAGATATTTGCTTCTTGGGTTTACAGGAGAATCTGATGCAGGGCTTGTGGAGTTATCAAAAGGGTGTCCAAATTTGCAAAAACTGGAAATGAGGGGTTGTGCGTTTAGCGAGCAAGCGCTGGCTAGCTTTGTGTTCAATGTGGGTTCATTGAGGTACTTGTGGGTTCAAGGATATCGTGCATCTGCAAGTGGTCGTGACATTTTGGCAATGGCTCGTCCGTTTTGGAATATGGAGTTGATTCGATCTGTTGGTGATGCACCCGAGAGTTCGTTTCAACAACAACCGCCTTCTTTGCTTGCGTATTACTCGCTTGCTGGACAACGAACGGATTTCCCAGATAGTGTTCTTCCTTTGCACCCTTCTTTAGATCTTTAATAACTAGGTCTCTTCAAGATCTAACTTTTCTTCGTTAGGGTTTTTAGTTTAATTGTGATTTGATGTTATTAGATTTTAAAGGTGAACAAGATCATTTTAGCATGTTTTACAGATACATATGGTTTATGAAAATGGATGCTTCATTTTTATTGTCTGTTTTACATTCCCTTTGTACCAAGAAAGTTCCTTTTGCTTCTTTCTTTTTCATGGGTTCATAATAAAATGTTCAAAGGCGTGGGCTTTTTCAGGCCTGGCTCAAACCTTCAAGCCCGTTTTTCAGTAAGGAAATGGCTATGTCAGGCTTTGGAGTTCAAACAGGGACTGATCGGTCTTCAGCCCCGGTTTTAGTGGGGCCTTTTCCTTTTTCCTCTCCTTTTCATGGGGTCTTAAGAGATATAGAAGGCCCGGACCATTTTGCTCTTAGCATAAAAACCGACTGTTCCAGGCTCTAGGGTTGAACGAGGGACTAATTGGGTTGAAACAGGCTTCTTGGGGCCCGACTTTAAACGGGCTTGGAAAAAGTTTGCTTGATTGGGCTTAAAGGCTGGGCCTGGTCTCGGGCTTAATAAGCCTGCTTTTTTGGGTGGGCCTGGTCTTCTATAAGCATAAAATACGATCATGCCGGCTTTGGGTTGAAAGAGGGATCAATTGGGCTTAAACCGGCTTCTTCAAAGCTGCATTAAACGGATCTTAGAAAAAAAAGTTTGCTTGATTAGGCTTAAAGGTTGGGGTTGGACTTACTAGGCCTAGACTTTTTTTGGGCAGGCTTTGAGTTTCGGCTTTTGTTTGCATCTTTGATTCACGTAAATTGCTACTCTACTGTCCGGGGTAGGAATCAGGGCAACATACATCTAACCTGTTCCAGATGCCATATCCGAATGAGATATACTGGACTGGTTTGATTTCGGGTTTATTAGACAATAATGAAATTTGATATTGTTGGGAAGTATTTATGGATTGGATTTGGGAGTGATGTGCACACTTAGAAGTGGTGAACATGGGATGGCTACTAAAAGGCAAGCAAAATGTGCATTCACAAACCTTAGTTTGGTGGTGTTGAAGTTGTAAAGCAAGCCTTTTAAAGTGTCTTCAAAAGCATACAAAATTGTCACTTTTTTTATAACACTTTTCTATATTAGATAAAAAAACAGCTTTTAACACCCAAACACAAAAAAAAATCGTTTATTTTCATTTATAAGTGTTTTCATACTGATTTGTTGTCTTTTCAGAATATAAGACTTAAACTCAAGATCTTTATATTATTATGAAAAAAAACTTTACTTGAACAAATTCAACTGGGTTTTATAAAAAAACCGAAGAAAGATACTGCAAGATACCTGTTACATTATACAGACTAGAGTTTTGTGATAATTTGTATAACTTACAAACCAGTTTTTATATATTATTTTATATATGAAATAATATTGTTTATATCAAATAACACAAACAAAATACTTGAATGATCCAAGAAAGTTTCTTGATGATTTTGATAAATAACTGATTTGATATGGACAAGAGCATATTCTAAACAAGGAAACAAGAATATTTTATTCCCATAACCCAAATGAGAAATGATCATGACCTACCATTTGTTTTTTGCTTTGTTAATTATAATATATAAAATTATTTAATATGTATAGATAAGTTAAAACATTTGTTTAAAGGTATTAAAATCTTAAGTTTTATTTCACTTTTGATTAATAAGAGGTGATGTTGAAGCATGAAATTTGAATCAATAATACTGTTTGTTTTTGTAAACTGATTAATGTCTAAATCTGTTTAATTTGTCTATTTTACCGATTAAAAAATTATAGTGTTGAATTTATTGATAAATTTATACAATTTCACAATAAGAGGCAAATAAGAGGTTGAGTTACCTTTTACTAGATAAGAAGACAATAAGATATAAGTGTCTCTAGAAAATTTGAAAAAACAAACAGTCTAAATAACCTCTACTTCTTAACGAATCAGACATAAGAAACTGATAATAGTTTTTTTTTTAAACAAACAACTTAACAAATTTCAAATAGCTTTTATAAATTTATTATAAATTTCGATTGCCCAAATATTATATTATTTTATACTTTTTTTTATATTTGTGTAAATAATTATGATTGCTTTTTCTATATTTAAATGGAATATATGTATTTTTAATTAATTTTACTTATCAATTAAACAAAAAGTTGATTACCGATAATTTCACTTGGTTACCCACAAATTTTTTCAACATTTAAATGGAATCTCATTTACTCGACTAATTAAAACTTAAAGCATGTTACTTAGCAGCTTAATGAGTTTGATAAAATTTACAACTTATTCAATCAGCTATACATAACTGTTTGGTTAATGACTTAATGATATAGACAGCGACTTATTCAGTTAGAGTTTTGAAGAAACTTTATGCAGAAAGTCAAATTTTTTCCAAGCTTATCTTTTTCAAATTAAAAAATACGTTCCTTTCACCTATAAAAAAAATCTACCAAACAAATTTCATGTAAACAACTTTATTCATACAAAATTAATGAAAAACCAACCAAACAACATCTTATCTGTATAATCTCACTATTCTTAATTCGTTAAATGATTCACAGAAAAAGCGTGCAAATAAATAAATAGCAAAAGAGTTAAAAATTTAAATGCATCTTTACTTTTGGGGATTTTTTTTTTTCCATTTATGTAAATGACAAATAATTAGTGCACATTTAAATAGAATCTTTTATATTTAATGGGTAAAAATGGAAATTCAGTATAAGGGGGATACTTGCTAAGATAAGCTGTGGTGAGGGTTGATTTAAAATATTATTATTTATTATTTTATTATTATATTTAAATTCAATTTTCCAGGCTCACATAACAGAAAATTGGGTAGTTGCCTCCTCTTCTTCCTCCACACTTCTCTCAAAGAAAAACAGATTGCAGAGAAAGAAACACACACACACACACACACACACACATATATATATATATATACACACACACATATATATATATATATATATACACACACACCACCACCATCTTGGTTATATTTTATTTTCTATTATTATTTATATGTAAAAAACTTTTAAAAAAAGAGAAAATCTTTTTCAAAAACCCTTCTTTTTGCAAATTAGTGGTGAATCATGTTTCACATTGTGGTATAGAGAAAAGACCCTTTCTACAAGAATACCCATTTTGCCAAGACACCAAAAAAAGGTGAAATCTTTATGTGTTTTGAGTCTGAGTTTGATTGTTTAAAGAGAGAGGGGAAAAGGGTTTTGGATTACTTTTGATTTCTGGATGTTTTTTTAATTTGAATCAAGCAAGTGAAGTGATATCTCTTCCTTTCTGCATTGAATTTGGTTATTTGATATTTTCTCCATTTTTAAAGTTATGGCAAAAATGGAGGAAATATCATCTGATAATGTCCATGGACTCATTCTAGCTCTGGCTTCAAGTATCTTTATTGGGTCAAGCTTTATTATCAAGAAAAAGGGTCTCATGAAGGCTGGTGCTTCAGGAACCAGAGCAGGTTCAACTTCTGGTTTTCATATTGTTTCACAATAGTATGTATGTATATATATATATATATAAATAAATATATATATATATATATATGTGTGTGTGTCTCTCTCTCTATATGTATATGTATAGTGTCAGGTTCAGGGGTTTGAGAATGTGTCGAACCCCCCAAGTCACTCTCCAAAATAGCCCTTGAAGAGAAAGGGGAAGTTCAACGTATATACAGAAGAAATGGCCCAAGTCTGGCTGATGTGGGACTCCAACATGCCGGAGGCTAGACGGACATAGATTGTCCCATAGTTTCAAGAGGGGGCTAGCTTGGCTCTGATGTCATGTGAGTGATCCGGGAGAAAGAGAAAGTTACAACATGTATACAGGAAAAATGGTTTGAGGCTAGCCGATGTGATGTGAGACTTTAACAAAACCTTAAAAAAGTAAATTTTCAAGTATGCACATGAGCATAACATTCATACATGCACAAAAACCATGAAACATCTTCAATTACTTATATGTACATGTACATACCGTACATATGAATGTTGATTAGGTGTTCCTCTTGTTTTACTTTTGGGCTCCCCTAAACCCCCTAAACCCTCTCTCTCTCTCTCTCTCTCTCTCTCTCTACTCATTAAATTGAATGGACCCATGTTTATTTATTGGTTATGTTTCTGTTTCTACAATCAAGAATCATTGTTGTTAGGAATATTGATCTTCAATAAACTCAAAATCATCCCCAATCAAAGCAAGAATCAAATCAAAGTTAATTTACATCCTTACAATCTGTTTCAGGTTCAGGAGGGCACTCATACTTGATGGAACCCATGTGGTGGGCTGGGATGATTAGCAGTAAGTTCTAATTGCATCCCATTGGCTTTCGTTTCCAGTTTTGCCATCAAAATATGTCTCTCTAGAAGTCAAACAACACATTTCTTTATAGGATGTTCTATACATTTTCAGTGATCTTGGGCGAGATAGCGAACTTTGCAGCGTACGCATTTGCTCCAGCCATTCTTGTAACCCCTTTGGGAGCTCTAAGTATAATTGTCAGGTACTGCACCAGATACTTCTTTGAAAAATTGCTATTTGGTATCCAAATTATTACAACTTTTGTGTTTCTTGTAATTTGGAATCAAGGGTATTCTTAAAGAACTTGTGAAAAAGGCTTTTGTTGATGCAAAGATGAGATGTTTACGTGTTTCTTGCAATTTGGAATCAAGGGTATTCTTAAACAACTTGTGAAAAGGCTTTTCTTGATGCAAAGATGAGAGCTTTATGTGTATTTTTTTTACCTAACCTGTTGTTATTAGGAGTAATCAATCACTTTGAACAAATTATGTGTATATATAAATATAGAAATTGCAGAAAATTGAATTTCTTATATAGAATCTAGAGTGTAAACATAAAACAACATACAATCGCTAGAAATCAAATGAAAATCCTTTCTGGATAGGGTAGATTCTTGCTGTTAATCGAGAAATGGATTGAGGCCTGCACCATGCAGTGTCCTAAGACAGAAAATTGCCAGTAGAGCATCCGTCTTGAGGATACAGCAACCGTATTCAAGTAAGACTTGAATCCAGCGAATCAAACTATATTCGGTGATGGATTTGTGATGAAAAAGGAAGAGAGAACTGGTATTTATACGTTTCTGTCATAACTGAAACAAACTGCCAGGGACGGATGCAGCTTTTTGCGCTACTTAATCCGCATAGAAACTCGCAGGAGTCACTGTTTCTACATGAAATTCCAGTGTCGAATGCGACTTTAGTCGCATGGTAACCCGTGCCAGCGTCCTTAATCCAGTGTGTTAGGCGAGTTTTCATGCAACTTTAGTCGTGTGTAAACCCGCTTCGATCACTGTTGTCACTGTTTGCCTGCACAATAGCATCTCTCGATCAAGCTTTGAGACCTCAAGGCCCTTATCTTTGACATTTAATATGTAAATGTCATTTACAAAGACCAAGGCCAAGCACACGCTCAAGCCCAACTTCATGTAACTCACTTATTCATTCAGAGCCCAATTCTTAGGCTTTATAAGCGAGTTCTTTTTTGGACTTGCTTCCTATGCGAGACAAGCTCCTTTTTCTAACAAAGTTCCAACACCTGTGCAGTGCAGTGTTAGCCCATTACTTTTTGGATGAAAGGATGCATATTTTTGGTGTAGTAGGGTGTGTTCTTTGCTTGGTGGGATCAACCATGATTGTGTTGCATGCTCCTCATGAGACCCAAGTTAGTTCAGTCAAACAAGTGTGGCTTTTTACAACTGAGCCAGGTGAGTTCAGTTTCTCTGACCATTTGTGCTTGTAAGTGGTTGTTTGGTTGGTTTTCCATTAAGGGTCTGTTTGTTAGCAGCTTAATGAGCTTAATCGGACTCGCAGCTTATTCGGCCAGCTGTAGATGAATGTTCGGTAGTGGCTTAATGATATAGAAAGTGGCTTATTTAGTAAGCTTCTAGGGGGGAGGGGAGCTTTATGCAAAAAGCCAAGTTTTCTACAAACACGCCCCTCCCAATTAAAAACATGCTTTTTCTATCTATTGAAAACCCTTTCAAACAAAAACTTTCTCAATCTACACAGACTTGTTAATCTACACAGACAACTTTAACCATACAAAATTAATGGAAAACTAACCAACCAGCCCCTAAGTCCTATATGGATAAAGATGTCTTGTGTGGATTAATCTGTCTGTATAAATTGGGAACATTTTGTTTGGCAGGGATTCTACATAGATGGAAGGAGTGTAAGAGGGGATGTTTGGAAAAAACTTGGCTTTCGGCATAAATCTCCCCCCTAGAAGCTTACTGAATCAGCCACTCTTTATATCATTAATTCCCTACTAAACAGTCATGTACAGTTGACCGAATAAGCTGTGAGTCTCATCAAGCTGCTAACAAACGGGCCTTAACTTGATCAGCTGAACATAGGTTCTCATCTAAGTTCTAAAACACATATGGGTTTGACCTTTTATGGTGTGTTAACAGGCTTTATGGTGTATGCAATCACTGTACTGGTTCTTGTTGGTGTACTCATTTACCGTTATGTGCCACTGTATGGGCAGACTCATGTGATCGTGTATGTTGGAATCTGCTCTCTTATGGGCTCGTTAACGGTTTGTTTTCTGTTTATCTTTTGTTTTTCCTTCCTGTTCCAAAGATATCTATCTGAGCTTTCTTATGGAATGTAGGTTATGTGTGTGAAAGCAGTGGGAATCGCTATTAAGCTATCGTTTTCAGAAAGTAACCAATTCAAATACTTCCAAACATGGTTTTTCACCATGCTACTTCTTGGTTTCTGTCTTATGCAACTCAACTATTTGAACAAGGTATGATCTTATTGACATCATTAGCATCAAGAAATCTTGAACTTGTCCAGAAGGCCGAGAAAGAAATAGTATCAAGAAATCTTGAACTTGGTCAAAAGGCCGAGAAAGGTATAGGATCAAGAAATCTTGAACTTGGCCAAAAGGCCGAGAAAGGTATAGGATCAAGAAATCTTGAATTTGGCCAAAAGGCCGAGAAGGGTATAGTTAGGCTGAGAAAGGTATAGTACCAAGAAATCTTGATCTTGGCCAAAAGCCCGTGAAAGGTATGGCATCAAGAAATCTTGATCTTACCTAAAAGGCCGAGAAAGGTATGGTACCAAGAAATCTTGATCTTACATGAAGGCCGAGAAAGGTATGGTACCAAGAAATCTTGATCTTGGCCAAAAGCCCGAAAAGGGTAAAGTATTAGCCAAAAGGCCGAGAAGGGTATTAGTATCATGAAATCTTGATCTTGGCCAAAAGGCCGATAAAGGTATACCATCAAGAAATCTTGATCTTATCCCTAAAGGCTAAGAAGGGTACAGCATCAAGAATTCTTGATCCTAAATTCAGAAATACCTATTTGCAGGCACTAGACACCTTCAACACTAATGTGGTTTCTCCTATATACTATGTCATGTTTACAAGCCTCACCATCGTGGCCAGCGTGATCATGTTCAAGGTGATTCACTATGTATTTTGCATCAATTCAACAAATAAAACCCGCATTGTTTGAAGCTTCTTTGATCATATTTCTGGTTTTTGGCATAACAACAGGACTGGGACGATCAAAGTGCAGCACAGATTGCAACAGAACTCTGTGGTTTTATAACGATTCTCTGTGGGACTTTTCTTCTTCATAAAACTAAGGATATGGGAAGTCCAGCCGCAGGTTCACGTGCGTCTACAAATTCACTAGACGGAAATGCAAATGCAAGTGCGAACCCGAACTCCCGACATCCGGAACTCTGACTGTTGGATTCTGAGATTTAGTTGTTAAGGGTACATAGAATGTGTGATCAAGAAAAGGCAAAAAATAGATGATACTAATATAGAGTTGTATATTGGTTTATACAAGAATTCCTGCTCAAATATGGCAGTAAATTCTTTGATTTATTTGCATTTTTTTTACTTTCCAGTTTAATTAGAAAGGATTTATAGGGTGTCAATATTCTGCTACATTTGACATGAATATGATTCTTCACAAGTTTCTTGTAATCTAAACAATTTTTATTTATTTCTTGGTCTTTTGGAACAATCCCATAAAAGATTCAAACCCTATTTTTTATCAAGATCTTGAATGATTTACAACCGATCGTTCATCGTTGCAAGTTACAAATAGACGCAAATTTCGTTCTTGGAGGTGTGTTCATGGGCTCGAGATTTTCATCTTTTGTTCTTGTATTCTTAGACAGATCCAAGTAAAGATGCACAAAAATGACTCGGCCAAATCTCAAAACCCGATCAAGCCAATCAGGCTTTTTTAGGCCTACCGGGCTTTGAGGCCTGGACCACGCTTAACTCACAAGGCTCAGGCTTTTTCCAATCAGACCTGGCCAGGCTTTTAAGTTTAGGCTTTTTTACATCTCTAATGGTATATGCACCATTATTACTATAAAAGTAAAAGTTCCTTTTGATCAAAACTTCAATCTAATTGATCAAAACTCTCCCTTTGACATTGGTTTTCAAATATCAGAAAAGAAGAAATACAAAAAAGGGATCAAAAATGATATTTCATTATATATCCTCCTACAGCCATATTCTTATGGATTTACAAGTACAAAAAAGCTTCAAAATTTTGGGTGTCAATGCATCCATCTTCCCATCTTCATTGTCATTATTTTCCTTTTCTTGTTCTCTTTATGCTTGGCCGCGATCCGAAGCTTCCTCTTGGCATTTCTCATGGGGTTAACAACCGCCATCACTTTTTCACCTTGTCGTCTTTTATCCCTTTTCGTCTTGAGATTTTTCCTTACCGAGCTATAAACTTGAACAAAGTGTTGGACACCCATTGCATCCCTGATGCTATCACGGACCTCTTGTGCAAATTGTTTTCCATCATCTAAAATAGCCATATGCATTCACCATCAGATTTGTGATAAACCAAACAAACCCGGTAAATTTCACACAAAGGTAGGTTCTAGGAAGGTTAGGATGTATATCTCTACCCCAAGAGATAGAGAGCTGTTCACGTGAAGACACCCAGGTTGTAAAACAAAAATAACAAGAAATAAAAGAGCATGTTACAATGGAACCTCATTTTCATTAAGAACCAGGGGACTCCCCACAACGCCACACATGGAATATTCATCAGGAATATGGACTTGATATTCATCATGAATGTTATAACATGTTCATCATGAATGTGTTATTCATGATGAATATTCATCCTGAAGAGAGACACGTGGCGCTGTGGGCGGTTTCCGTGAAGACACCTAGGAACGGAACCTCCTTTTCATTAAGAACCGGGGACCTCCCTCCCCAACACGACATGTTGCATATTCATCAGGAATATGGACTTGTTATCTATCATGAATGTTATAACATATTCATCATGAATGCGTGCTTCATGATGAATAAAATGTCCATATTCACCATGAATGTGTTATTCATCACGAATATTCATCCTGAAGAGGGACACTTGGCGCGCTGTGGGCGGTTCTCGGGTTCTCAACAAAAAACAGGTTCTCAACCAAACTTTCCTCAAGTGTATAATCAAAGCAACTTTCCCAGAGACACCATAACGAGAAAAACAATTGGATATTAGATGCTAAAACTTGCCTGAGACAACTTTCCCAGCAAATCCCTCGCAGATTTTGTACAAAGGCAGGAGCACCTGATAAGCAAGATTTTGACCATCTTTCTTGTCAAGCTCTTCCGAAGCTTCATTGCCATCGAGGACTTTTGGCGATACCAATCTGAAACTATCAAAGACGATTCTCATCTGAAAATAATTTACAATCAACCGTCAGTAATAAGAAACTCCAAGAAAAAGAAAAACATAACCAAATCCCTAACAAAAATATAATCTTGACATGGTTTAAGAATAGCATACTAACCTGAACTTCCTCCATATCAAGTGCAGTCTTTCCCATCCTTTTAAGTAAAGAGGAGATGAGAAAGTAACGATGATGATCACAATTCTCCATCTCACTATGACCATTAAGATCAGATGCAAAAGATGCAAACATGCTTCTTCCTTTTCTTGAATCAAGTATCAGAAAAGCTTTGATAAGAATCTCTTCGTCCTTTGGTTCAAAAGTAGACCAAAATACTTTAGTTTCTTTTTGTCGCCCTAGCATTGAATGCAATCCAAGAATTGCAAACACGATATTTTGCCGAAGATAGTTGTTGGCTGCATCATCGGTAAGCGACGCTTTCAATTGAGAACAGAAAGAGACTGCTAGCAAGAAGAGTCTACTAGGTCTCAATAGGAAAAATTCTCCAATCCATCTCTCGTTATTTTGCTTGCAGGCTTCAGTTATTGTTGCAAAGTACAATGCAATGAGGCGGTTTGAGATATTGCGTAGCCAAATATGCGGATGCAGCAAGAACTCACAGATTATTTCCCATATGTCCTGTAAGCAAATGGAAGGAACGAAAATAAAATAATGACCCCAAACTGTGCATATAAAGAAATTTATTACATAACATCTTAGACAACCGTACCATATATTATCCACACACCTAGACTCAAGGTTTTAAAACAAGTCTAATAGAGGAGATTTCCAGTCCCTTATAAGGCAACTATCGTTCCCCTCCTCACTGGCACACTAGTCTGGTTCCCAACTCTAATACCATCTGTAACATCACAGGATAACCATACCAGATATTGTCCGCTTGTCCAAACACCTAGACTCACGGTTTTAAAACACGTCTGATAGAGCCGGTCCCTTATTAGGCAACTTCCGTTCCCCTCCTCAATCAATGTTAAGATCCCACATCGGTTGGGGAGGGAACTAAGGTTGCCTTATAAAGGACTAGATACCTCCTCTATCAGATGCGTTTTAAAACCGTGAGTCCATGTATAGACAAAGCGGACAATATCTGGTACGTTTAGTCAGAGATGCTACATATTAACCCTAAAGATGATATTCTACATTCTCCATAGAAGCCACACCCGGATTTGAATTATTAAGAATAATTTTCAAAGGTTTTAGGAATCAAAAAAGCCAAATAGAAACCAGCCATTTCAAATAAAATGTTCTTCGAGCATGTTATATCATCCGATCACATGATATCTTGTGATGGATAGTATAATTGTACCTCAAGATCTTTCCCTAAGCACGTTTCAGGAAATTGCAGTAATATCTTCTCAAATAGAACCAATGAATAGTATGCTTCTTTCCATAGGGGAATCCCCGCTCCACTGGGAGGATCTGCCTGATCGTTTTTCAAGATATTGACAGCAGACTGCAATATGCGTCTCATTACAGGAAAAATAGCATCTATATGTTTTGTGAAGCCTTTCTTCATCACTTCTAGCAATAGTCCCAAAACCTGTATAAAAATATTTTGGAACCAGAAATTGTAAACAGTCAACAAGAACTCGAAAACAAATCTATAGTTATTTTACAAAATTCTTCTCTTGGTCATCAAATTTTGCAAATCGAGAAACAGAAAATAGTGAGTTGTGGCTGAAAAGAAGGCGTTTCTTATGGGATTGAGGGAACAATGATGAGTATACCTGTGCTGCAGCACTCCATAAACCCTGTTTCTCGCCTGAATACCAAAACAAAGCATACTCTGAAATAGAATGGAGACTTTGAGGGCTCACACGACTAATTAGAAGCTTTATAGCAGCACCAATCATAGAGCGGACCTTTTTCTCAGAATCGTTTGCTAAGCAAACAACCAGTTGGACAAAAAGAGTCTGCGACTGTTCATTCACAACTTGGGGCGGAAACTTCATAATAATAGCATGAATCATTTCAAGCACAGCTTCTCTTCCAGTTGGGTGCTCATACCTACAACAACAACAACAAAATATCATTTACGTTGTGTTCTCGAATTTGGGGAGAAACAAAAGGAAAAGAAAGGGAGAGGAAAGGAAGGAAAATAATTTTTTATTTGTGTTCTCGAAGTGGAAGGAAAAGGAAAGAAAGGAAAAGAAAGAAAATATTTTTCCATGTTCTTGAACAGGAGGGAAAGAAAAGATGTCACTTTTACGAATATACCCTTAAAAATATATCCTTTAAAATTAAAGATTGGGTAGTTTTGTAATTTTAATAATTTTCTTAGAGGGTTTTAATTTCTTTCCTTTCCTTCCCATTCCTCCCACATTTGGGAGGAAGTTCTGGGAGGAGGCTTATCATTATTTTCCTTCCCTTTCCTTTCTCCCCTACAAAAGCTTCAAGAACATGAGTTTTTTTACTTTCCTCCCCTTTCCTTTCCTTCGTAAAAGAGATTTTGAGAACACAACATTAGTAGGAATTAGTTGTACATTGACCAAGTAGAATCTCATCCTTGCCTTAGATTTGCAAGCAAGAAGTCAAGATGCTGTTGCAATCGTTTCTGTGAAAGGGAATAGTCAAGCAAGAATTGTAAGAAGATCTGACTGCATTTCTTGCGTATAGGTTCCACTTGACTTGTTACCATCAACTCTGCAACTTGTTTAGCAAGATCATATATCTCAGGAACTACAACCTTACGGTTCACAATTGCCTTCAACAGAGAAAGTGCAACGAAAGACGGGTTTCTTTCAAGATCAACAAAGAGCGGAAACTGGACGAGCATGTGAATCTGGTCAGAGGAAAGCGTAATACTGGTGCTTCGCAGAAGCACTGTCAATAGCCGTATACAAGATTCAGCCAAAGCACTGGTAGCATTGACAGAACCATGCAGGATAACGAAAAGTGCACTTTTTATATTATCAGCTTCAGAATCAAGGGAAGGCAACGAAAATCTCACAAGAAGTGAAAGACACCTAAGAGCTGCAGAAGTAACGTCTTCATACTTGGAGCTCAAGCAGCCGCATAACAATCCAACAAAAGGGTCCAACAATGATAATACTTGCTCTTGATTTTCTTTAAGTTTCATTTTCTTAACACGACTATGCAAAATACCAAGGGTAAATACCGTAATGAGATGTGAACATTGCGAGCCAGCACGAGATAACCTACCAGAAATGCTACTTGTAGTGTTGATATCATCATTCTTATCTCCACTCGACTTTGCGCCATATATATTCTCACAACCTTGATTTCCCTTCAAACCATCTTCAATGAGGCCATAAGCAAAAATAAGAATGTCTTTCTGGTTTACGGTCGGGTTACATTCGATGCCAGAAGCTATATGATGCAACATAGTTTCTAATTTTGATTTCAATTTTGGCGTCAACTGCTTCTGCAGATGGCGTGTAATAGGTGAAATCAGCTTCAAGGCATGAGTTTTAAATGTGATGCTTTGAGAAATCAATTTGAGTGTCTCAAATGACTTTTTCTTCCTTGTCTCCTTCATTTTTGAAGCAATCTTTTCAACATCTTTCTCCTCGGAAACATCTCCAAGAATATCATTCTCAGCCACAGAAAGAAGTTCCTCTAAGCAATAATCCAACTTCCCACAAATGGAATCAGCTAAGCACTTCGACAGTATGAAATGGAGCGTATATCCAAGTACATGCAGCTCAAATCCTCTTTTCAAGGTAGACCTCATGACTTTGAGAATGAACTGCAGATATTCTAGCCCTAACTCCTTCAAACAAGCAGCAAGAGCAGACCTTGCCTCATCACGAACACTTTCCAACCGACTTTTCAAGAAGTTTGAAATACGATGAATTATAGTCGGAAGCTGCAGTTCCAATATGTTACCCGGAAGTAGTTTTAACAGCTTTAGTGCAACAAGACTCACGTTAACATTCACATTGTCGGTATCCAATGTCAACAACTTCTGTATCTTAGGTAGAATGTTTTCATGAAGACAACTTTGTATATCGGGATGTTTATCCGTTGTGGTACACTTGACCAAGACAATTGAAGAAGCCTGTTGACGGGATTCAGGAGAATCTTTCTCCCTATCAAAGTGCTTAACTTCTGAAAAATGGTAGTTGTCTAGAACAGAGCAAATCAGCCTCAAAAACAGTTTTTGTTTGTCGGGTCTCAGTTTTAATTCCCGGAAGCACCTGTTCAACAGTGCATAGTATGCTTTCCATCCCATAGAACCAGAGATAGATGCAAGGGCTTCGATACAAGCGTTTCTAAGATGCTCTCCCTTTCCATCTTTTACTTCAAGTAACATATTGAATAAAAGCGGGACTAGCACTTTATTTGTAATGACCTGAATGATAGATGGACAGCAAAAGGTAAGTGAAAGGGAAGAAAAGTGTAAGCGAATCTAACCACCAAAAAGGAAACTACTACCTCTGACAAATGGCAAGAACGGGCAACACTGCAGAAGCGTAACAATGCCCTTGCTCTTCTATGCTTCTGTATTCATGAAATTATTTAACAAACAAGGCAGACAGAAAAAAGTCAAATCAATCATGAATATAAATCACATTCTGCTTTGACCAATATATAATGGACATGTGTCACAAGACTAGAAAAGTCCTAAATTTTCAGCAGTAGAAGATGTTACAAGAAGGAATGGAAGAACAAAATTTCTGAGAAGTGGACAGTAACCTCTTTCGATATCATCTCATACTGTCGTACATACACATTTATATTTGGTATTACTTAATAGCAAGAATTTTGCCAACAAAATCAGATTCCTAGGCACAGAACACTTAGGTGGTGTTTGATTGGCAGAATGTTTTTCGAAGGAATTGGAATATGGAATGAATTGAAATGGAATATTATCAGGTTTGACCAAGTGTTTGGTTGGCAAGAAATGGAATGTAATCTGTCAAATGAATTGGAATATGTCTGTTTTGTTTACAGAAGAATTGGAATGAAATGATGAAAATGACCAAAATACCGTCTTTGAATTTGTATTTTTTTTTTCTTAAACTATAAATATAATAATTTAAGAAACTTGGTTTACTGGGGTAGATTTGTCATGTTAAGAAAATTGTTTGAATGGAATTCAATTCCTTCCCCACTATGATGGAACTATGAAATCCATCGTTGGTGGAATATATGGGATTCAATTCAATTCTATAGGTAAACCAAACGCCAGAATGGAATTTGGTCAACGCAATTGACCATTCCAATTCCATCAGATTCCATCAGAATAATGCGAACCAAATGCCCCCTTAGGTATGGTTTCAGAAAATCAGAATGGTCAGGCTCATAAAAACACCCATCCTTGGACGTGTTTGATGCAAAAATGTCAGCACATGAACACAAAATTATCATAATTCCTATGTACATACTCAGGAAATCAACTTACAACAATTCCATTTCCTTATCAGCCTACTAACCTGCAAGTGAACGATATTGCTAAAGAAGTCCTGCTCTGCATCTTCACTACACAGAGCATGATATGATGTAAGGTTAGACACATTAGGAAGTTTCAACACCATCTCTCGCAGTAAATCCATCCACACCTGTAAATTAGTAGTTACCCAGGTGAGAACTATATATGGGAAGTTCGAAAATCATCATATAGTAATCCAGAAATTGCAATAGAAAAGAAAAAGGGAGGTTTGAATCTAATAGTAGAACTATATGAAAGCATTTGTATTATGTCAAGTTGAACTTACATTCAAGAAACCAAAGACATAAATCAAGAAAACGAAATAAAAGCCCAAGAATGCAGCTTTAAACATAAATGGAGTCCTTCACCTTTAGAACAGAAGTTTCTTTGCTCATAGCATTTCCCATATACTTCAAAAAGAAGTTGTTTATTGTGTTCTGAATGCATGCTTCAGACCAACACCCCATATTAGATTCCAATTCACCACAAAGGATCTTCCTACAGAAATCAAGAAATAGAAGCAAAAGTCTATATGCACTGTTCCTCAAAATCAAGTCCTGAGATGACATATCATGTACACAATGTGACAAGATAACTAGTGAATGCTCCTCTCGAACACTGCAGAAGAATTCAATGTCGATTTTCTCATAAGCACCAATTATGACATCATAATCAAGGACATCCATCTCTACTGCAGATAGAGCATTGAATTCCCGAAGAAGTTTCGCCTGCAAAAACACCATGATGATGAATATATAGCAATGAAAAAATAAGAACCATTATAACATAACAAGGAAATTTAGGTATATATCGTATGCGAGTAAAAACCTAACTGACCATCTCACATTACTTGCCACATAGAAACATATTTTATACCACTGCTGTCCCAGGCTGAGTTATCCTTTCTGTGATGCTCCAAATTAAAAGGCTTCTTTCCAAATTAGACTAACGAAATACAATTACTTTTTCCTGTGCGCCCTTATTTATTCTAGCGGTCTAGTACCTTCCCTTATGCTTTTACTGCATGCTTTAGTATCTTGCTTGTTACCTTCCATTCGAAAATCATAACTTGCTTCTCTACCATTTATGTTTTTCCTCTTTCATCTATTCCAAACTCTTGTATAAATTTTAGAACCAAATGGTTCCCGCAAAATCATGCTCTCTTTATGGAAACAACCTCTCTCTCTCTCTGGGTAGTGGTGAGGTCATCTTCCACCCCCCCCCCCCCCCAAAAAAAAAGACCCTACTTCGTGCAGCACTCACTGGGTTTGTTTGTTTTGGTAGGTTTGGTCTTATTTGGTCTTGCCCTCTTTTATATTGCTCGGACTTTGTATGCACACATGAATCTAAAAACAATAAATTACAATATGCTTTTAGTTTGGCAATAAGAAGATAACAAATCTAGAAAATTAATCATCAGCCATATTTCTTTGAAGCCTCATCAAATTCAGCCATCTATTATAGAGAGGGTGAATGAGTTCTTGCCTCCCTCATTTTCACTTTCTATTTTGCTTTAAACAGGATAATATTACAATGATTAGGTCGCTTTGCTTGTAAAAAGGTAGAACTAAAAGTCAAGTAAGGTTGATTGGAAGAACACGTCTTAAGCATCTTCATTTCTAAAAGGATAACATCTAGCCAACAGTTGCACAAGGCATGCGGAATGGTGGACGTTGTATAAAAATAGTGGCAAAATAGCTTACCACAAGCACTAAAGAAGGATCACTTCCAGCAAGCGCATCAAGGATGTCACAGATAGCCAACCGAACCTCTGAATTTGCATGAATAAGTAATGGAGAAATAGTATTCAAGATTCTTAAACCGCCTTCACTTCCTAACATAGGTACCATCTTCTGAATGACATGCAAAGCCGACACACATGGATCTGGTGAAAGATGACAAGTTACAATGATGAATCATAAAGTTAAACAAGGAATAAATTATAATGTCATTGAAGAGATATACTAACCCCAGTCTATATGCTTCTTGGTTAGAGATGGAAGTAAGATGTCAACAAATTTTCTCCCGATCGAAGGATCTTTAATATACTTGGGCAGTAATTTGAAAATGCTAAGCTCGTTTCCTCCAGAATATTTGAGTGACTTCCTACAAATGTAATTTAAGTTAGCAACGGAAGAAGGTTTATATATGAAAATTTTGATGGGTATCAATAGGGCTGCAATATCTGCAACAAATAGAATTCCCAACATAGTGCTCCAGCTCCATACAGAATTTAAATAAAAATCTTAACACCAAGGGGTGGGACCTAAAAGGCTAAAAGTTCACTTGGAAGTTAAAATTTTCATTAAAGATGCGGCACCCAACTCTTGAACTCATGAATCTGATTCCTATGGGGGTGAAGTCCTTCAGGCATGCGGCCTAGTAAGTACAAGATGTAAATTTGAACATATTCTTAAATCAGTGATTACATATGGCACTAAAGGTACAGAATGGGCAAATTAGATCTTTTTGTGAAAATGAAAGATATCAAAATTCAAGAACTTACAAATTTGAAAATTAGAAGACATGTTCTTTTCACCTGCAAGAGAAAGGAATAGAGGCGGAACAGAGGTGATGGTTATGACAATACCAGGCTTGATGAACATGTTTATGTATTAGTGTACTTCTGTTGTTTAATTTCTAATCACCTACTTTTTTCTTACACTTGATATTTTTCAACAATTTATCAACCATGAAGATAACTTCTCAAGTCCTAGTGGTCACATATCACCCACCTCTATCCTTGCAACATAGGGACCAACCTACTTAAAAAGAGTAAATGTGCAACTTTTAACGTCTTGATGTCCTATTCCTTTCACTTCATTCCAAGTAGAATTTGTTAACCATTTTACATAAATATCTTTTTTCTCACTAGATTTTAGTCCCGAACTAACAGTCAGGCTCCCTTTAATAAACGTATCTCGTGTTCAAGAACGAAACTCAGAAGCAAAATGAATGAATGAAAGAGATGCCATTATTGTGAGTGATCATTATAATCAACTCCCTACTTCAACTTGCAGCCAACCAAATTCTTGAGATTCCCCGCCTATTGAACAGTAACAACAATCACACCCGTAACTCTAAACAGCTCAAATTAACAATGGGAAGTAGTACACTGAGCTGCAAGTAGGCCTTCTTTATAAAAAATAATTACTCACTCAGTCACATAAATTGATGCAAAACATTAATATACCAGTCTTAGAAATTCTTTTTGACATAATCACAGAAAATATGATACCTGCTAGTACTTTTGCTTGTGAAAAGGCAATGCAAGCTGCAGACAAGTGTGTCAATGTTTGGAAGTAGAATGCCTTTCACGTCATTATCACCACTTTCCACCTCGATGTCGAGATTAAGTAGGTTCTCAATGAATCTAAGGACACAAGATATAATTGCTTCGGAAGCTGTTGTAACTGTTAGAATTGAAAATATATCTGGGACAAGATTTTCTGCCCTATGAAACAGGGATACGAGTTTATGGCTTCTACTCATAGCAAGAAAACAAACAAACAGTGAACTTGGCTTCTCACTACTAGCTCCTTCTTGCTTGAAACCAACAATTAAAGGTTTTAAAGCTGAAAAGAAGATGTCCCAGAATTCCAAACTGAAATCATGATCTTCAAATTTACTCAGTACCAAAGATATAATTTTCAGACATAAAGATCTCAAATCCTTGAACTGTTTTGAGGCCAAGCTGGTCTGCAATTCAAAAACAAATATTTATTAGGATTGAGTGTTTGCAGCAAGTAACAAGTAACACTGCCAGAAATTTTATTTAGAACATATATATTGCCAAATAGTAGTATAGTTTATGGGAAATACTTCCATATAGAGGGAGGTTCAATGAAAAACTCCAAAAAAATGAAAAACCGAGGAACTCCCTCGTAACCATTCTTTCATTTGGATGGTATGCACATGTGCATACAAGTAATTGAAGGTTTTTGTTGGTTTTTATGCACATGTGCATACCGGACAAATTACTTGTATGCACATGTGCATACCGTCCAGATGAATACTACCAGGGCGTACCTCAGTTTTTCATTTTTTAGCGTTTTTCCCCTGAACCTGATCCTAGTTTATGGGAAATACTTCCAAATAACCACTTCATCTCAGAGCCAGCCAAAAATATCAACTGAGACCTAGTCTCTTCAGAAAAATTAGAAGTACTAGTTAAATTTTCATTGGCCATCATCCTTCTTATGTCGGATAACAAATTCAGAATGTAATATATATATTACCATGGCCTGCTTTTCTGCTCCACTGTCTTCTCCATGTTCACACACATTAGTGTTCCTCACTGCCATAGATAAGTCACAGTTCTTTGTGCCCTCCATACTTGGTGCACAGCTAGCTAATATGCGAACAACACTTCCCATTAATGTATCAAGAACAGGACTAATACGTGATTCATCAAAAACTCCAAGAATTTCTTCCGTCACATGTAAAAACCCATATATTTTCTTTGAAGATAGTGACTTGATGTTATCCATACTAAAATGTCTCAGAACACCTGAAGAATCAAACTTAGCAGGAGTTTTAGGTGAACCCCAAAGTAAATCATCATCCACAGCATCAACACCCAGTGACTCCTTTTGTAAGGGCTTTGTTAACAAAGCAAAAAACAAAGGAAGCTCGTTGATATCAAGCTCAGCTAGGAACCCAATAACTGCTTTCCTATGGTGCACACTTGCAACCTGGAGAAATAACAATACTCGTTATGTATAGCTCAAAAGAGTGAAAAAGAAAGACATGGAGAAGCAGGAGAATAGTTAATAAAATTTCTTGACAACACGAACCTTTCTAGATGCAAGTGTTTTCAACTTCCTAACTTTTGGCACAAGAATACGAATGACTAGTGGCACAAGACGATCTCTGTGTTCTTCACTAACCAAATTAGATTCTCTAGATAAGCTCCATCTTGTAAGTTCATCCCTCAGAGTCTTAGGGTTGACCAGATTTCTCAGATGCTGATCATAGGGCAGTAGGAATTCATCCTTCCAATTCAATAGGCAATCAAGAACCTTCAACTGCACTTCAGGATCATTCTCATCAAGCAACCTGAGAACACATCAAAATGAATTAGTAAATAAAAAACATGAGCACTTCTAAATTTTACCCTCGTAGATCATCAAATAATGCTTAAGCACCAAGCATTCATACAAGCATAACACTACAATTCCTGAATTTGTAACAACCTGTATTGTAGAACCTCCTTAAGAAACTGACTCCGATAGAAGGACTTTGGATTGTGCATCAATTTCAGCAAGTTTAACCAATCTTCAAGAACACCCTTCCAATCTTTTCCTTTAGAAGCATGCAAACTATATGATCTCACACTGCAACATCAGAATAAAGAGAGGGTATATTACCGAAACGAGCCAAGGAGAGTGCATATCTTAGACATAAGCAGAAAGACAGCTAAAACTCCTTAAAGTATTAAGGAGAACTACCTTGAAAGATCAGAAACCTCATAGCCCAAAAATTTTAAGAACAAAGGTATAATTTGCCGGGAACGTGATTCGACAAGCGTCGGTACTTTTTGTAGTGACTTGATCAACAACGACAAAACAGTTGCGGATGAAATGCCATCATAGGAAGGAGCAACAAATGCGTTAAAACAACTGAGCAAATCTGAAGTCAACATACATAATGTCAGATGCATAGTTGAGAATCAATAAACTCCAGTCAAACAGCAATTTAAAGTTATGTTACTTTGAAGTTTAAAATACGTGTCTGTTCTGTTTTCCTTTTATTCCTGAAGATACCTAACAGATTAATTCAATGCCAAGGTGTATATACTAAGAGCATGCATGCCATTGTTTAAAAGGATGTTCATACTTTTGGGGGTTGGGGAGATGACAACTTTGGAAAGAGAAATCAAATACATACCATCGCTCTTGTCACATAATTCCCTGTTGCCTCTATCAGAATGTCCGTGATGTGATACGAGGTTAGACACACTTTTGTCCAGATACTTCACACATATTTCCCATACCAGTCCATAGTAATGGCTAACCAAGGCCGCAAAGCATTCCATAGCTGGATTCCATAGATAATTAAACTGGTTGTGGTATATGCCGATAATAGCATTGAAAACAAGGGGTATATAAGCTCCGCATATCCTTCCAGTAGAGAGATCCATCTGTATCTTCGTTATCAATAGAATAACTTTCCTACTAGTCGCTATAGAAAGAGAAGTTGCTTCGATGGCAAGCAGTTGATGAAGAACCTAAAATAAGGAGATTCAAAAACAATAATTAGGCTAAATTGAAAAAAGAAGATTCATTATCTTATGGCAAAAGCAAGAAAAGGGAACATACGTTGTCGCTCTGCTCACTTCTGTTGAAGTTTGGAGGATCGTCGATCATCATATCTTTCTCCGAAGGTTGATTACTTGATAAATTCTCAGAATTCAGATTTTCATAGTGGCATAAGATTCTTAGGGTGAGAAGACGGATTTGTTTGTCAGAGTGACATAAATTTTCAGAAAATACATCAAATGCATCTACGGTTTTGCACGCCTCTAACTCTAGATGATACTTCTTAGGGCTGCCAACTTGAGTGGTGGACCTGCATTGGACAATCATAGAAAGTAAAAAGAAGAACATGTGAGTTCCAGCACAGCGCAAATCTATTTAAGCCATTAAGTCGGAAAGGATAATAAGATCAACATACGCATCTAATGAATCCAAGAAGTCGGCAATGGCAGATAATATATGGATAGAAGATTTATATTTTTTAGCAAAATACAAGATTCTATCCACTGGTAATCCGTCATGCCCTGCCATCTGACTGAAGCCCAATTTCTGATAGGAAGCTAAACCAGCTCCAATTAAGCTTTCCCAAGTCCGTCTAGGCAATGCTGCAATTGTTTCTGAAAGAACCATCACATGAAAAGTTGTTTATAGTTAAGTCGTGAACACAATCTTCATTAGTTATCATGCCAAAGTTTCTAAGAGACTACAAGGTCTCATACCAGAGTTGATCATCAAAAGGCGATCAAGGGCTTCTACAAAATCCATAAGTACTGATGGATTAGCTTGGAACTCTGTCATGTAAGAATAGCAGCTGACAATTCCCCACATCCGAGCTAAATCTGTCGCCCTAAACTCCAAACAAGATGGAGACTTGTGTACAGCATCATTCATCATTCCAATCCAGTAAGTAATCTGTTCCTTGAGAAAAATACCAACTCTTAAAATCTCTTGTCTGGGTTTCTCTTCCAATAGACAATATTTTAATGATTGTAATCTCTCGAAGAACTTAATAAGCAGGTACAATGCTTCTTCCTCCAAGGTTGTGATTAAATCGGTCAGTGCACTGAAACCCACTTTTAAATGTTAAAATAAATAACCGAGCAAGGTGAACTAATAGCCAGTACCCATTAAAACAACAGAACTAGATCATTTACCTTATAATACAGGTTCTGAAAGTATGGAGTATGGAGGGGTCCTTCAATAATAGCTCTTTAATGAAGCTCATAAAACTGCAACCAGCAAACATCAAGTTGAAACAAAATCAGTAGGGGAGAACTATGGGAAAACTAACTGTGAATACCACCAATTTCCATATGAAAACAATAAGCCTGATACCTCGTATTCCTCATCTCAAATATAGGAGCCCATTGCATTGACAATTCTGTAAGAACTGCAGCATGATTACCACTATGAAGACCATCAAGAATGCAAAGCATCAGCTGAAGAATTTTATCAATAATTTCAGAGGATTGGTCCTCAGCCTTCAACAATATGCCAGAAGGCATGATAAAAGTCCCGATAAGCAATTTAGCTAGCTCAAGCACTGGTTCAAACTCTGTAGTTGTAAAGTCCAAATAGATGTTAATGGAAGACAATCAAAATAAACAAAGATGGTCAACCTAGAGCAACCCCGGAAAGGAACAGAGGTCAACCAAAAGGTGGCTAATCTTACCTATCATCTTGTGCACATTATGGTTATGCATAGTAGAAATAAACAGGGACAGAAGATGACTGAGATGGCGTGAGTGTCCATTAGCAATGGAGTCGTATATTTCCTTTCCCTCGCGTTGCACCAACAATTTCAACTCTGAGGGCCGCAGCTCTTCACATAACCGCTGAAAGACTGTGATCACAACTTCAACAACTGGATTTGAGCCTGTACCAAACAGATAAAAGCATTATGATAAACTAATGCAAGACTGATCTAAGTTCAAGAAATTTCCATAGTGATGAAGCAAATTTTAATATGCAACTGGGTGACTTGAAGCATGACTAACAGGCTTAAGAAAATATTACAAACATCAACAAGAAGTTTTCTATAACAAACTTGCCAGGGTGGGCCAAAAATGGAAGCAAAAGGTCTTGAATTATATGGTTATATCTCTCTTGACTACTTCCGATTTGATCTTGGCCTATCCTTACTACAAACCCCCTTCCCACTTCACATAAGTATTCCTTTTCCATCCAAAGCCAAGGGTCTATATTGAAGAATAGAAAACCATATAAACTAGTGTCGCATCAGTTACTCTTTGATCATAGCCACCTCATCCGTCTCCCTTATCTCCAATTTATAACCTGCCATTGTTTTTCAACAGTCCTCTTGATACAAGTATCCCTGTTCAGCAACACATCCAAATTCCAAAAGCTCTTAAGTAGAGGATTACCTAACCCACCAAAAGTCGGTGTTGTATCAGTTTCTCTACAGTCAGCTCCACCTCACCTGTCTCCTTAATATCCAAATTTCTAATTATAAACGTACGTCCAACACATGCACCTCAACATACGGATTGTTCACCTACTCCTTTGGATCCTTTTGCTGACCTAACAATTTGGCCCACAAATCATAGCAAGGATCAAAGTTGTCCAATGAAACCTACCACTCAATGTTTGGTAAAACTTGCTTTCATGTGCCCCTATCCGAGTTTAACATATTCTCCCATTCAAGTAGCAGCACAATCCACTATTGTTTGCATCTCGGTTATTAGCAAAGTACATCTATCAAAAAAATTGAGTGCAGAAAATTTAGATAGTAAAAGAATTTGCCTTCAGGGTCTTTGTCACCGCTTCCTATTACTTCACCATGAAGTAATAGCCGCATCACTTGCTCAGCCCTGGAATGCAACTTCGATGAAAATCCTTTCATAACATAAAATAACAATGCACTGGCTCCAGATTTTCTAGTTTCCAATGGTTTTGCCACAACTTCAGACATGATTTTCCTGATGCCTGTTAAGTTTAAAGTTTACAAGTTATTAATAGGTGTTGACAACAAATAGATTGCCGCCTCATATTCGCAAATAAATGAACAGAAAAATGAACAAATGAGCATCAATTCCACCGTTTCATCTCACTACTAACAGGTAGATACTAAAGCAACCTGCATGTAAACCAAAAAAAGCCAGACACATAAACATGGGCCATGTATTTATATCCTACACAAGGTTGCAAGTGCATCAACCAGAAATCCATTTTACATCTCTGCAGCATGCTTGGATTGCTATTTTATGCATTAGAAAGAAGAACTCTAGACAAAAGAAAAAATACAGCAAATACAACAAATTTGGCAATATCTACATAAGGATTAAACGCTTTCCAAATGGTCACAGCAAGTAGAAGGCTGTAAGGGAGTTAAAAACATCAGATATAAGAACTAAAAAATATCACCAAGAACTGATACGAGCACACAAGGTTTAAAATAGAACACAATATTTACGCCTTTACGGATTTCACTGTCTGATCCATAACAAAAATGCTAACAAGGCTCGTGATTAATGTACATGGAACTGGAAGAGACCAAAGAACTTATATCTAAACTTTGTAAACAGTAGTTAGAAGTAGAAAACCAGTCAGACATGACAAAAGCCAGACAAACAACACAATCACCAGACACATTCCTCATCATAGATTTCACTCTGCCATTGTCAATACTTGACCTCCCTCACAAGAACCCATAGCAGGTTGAAACTGTAATATTGTTTGGTGTTAAAAAATTTAAAGATGATTAAAAAAGTAACATGATTCTTCAACTTCTATTTAAGGGAAACCATGGATGTGTAACTAAATCCACAAATCAAGAACGAAAGAAGCCTTTGGTTGCAGAGTAAAATCGGACATCTAAACAAGGGAAGCACACTCGCACAGAATGGTTATTAATTTCAATGAGATTACTTAAAGTTTGCTGCATAAGTCACTTAAATTTGGTGTGTTTGTCAGGATTGCTGCTTCACGGATAAAAAGTTCCCATGAGGCTCTGATACAAATATAAGATGCTATACCTTTGTTAAGCTGCTCTACAGGTGCATTCCTCAACAAAAAGGAGATAGACTCCGCCATAAATTCCTGAATGTAATCCTTTGGATAGAACCTTAATTTAGCTGTGACTCTGAGAGAAAGATATGGGAATGAGCGGATACTGTTAGGCAATTTTCAACATGATATGCCAAATATAGACACATGTAAAGAAAGAAGCTGATTAGGTAAACAATAAAAATGATATTGCTCCAGATACAATCAACTCACATGATAACTTCTTAACATGAAAAGTCGACCTAAATTCATTTTACTTACTTGAGGACATAGACAACATCTCTAATTAAATATTTCTGTAGATGCATCATAGTGTATGACCAGGATATAAAAATCTGCACAGCAACAACCAAATTGTAGCTTTCTTGTTCCATATTATGTGATAAAAAAAAATCGACAAAATTACAGCTTCGACCTGCTCGATTATATCTGACTCCCTCTCAGCACCACTACCGAGAAGCAAAACCATGGAATCCGCAACCTTCCCCAGAAATCTATAGAGACACAGGACAAAAAGTAAGTTTAAAATGAATGACCAATCATATATCATATGTCCATAAGGAACAATACTACTAGAAAGGTATACCGTATAAGATGTGAATCATAGTCAACAATGCAAAATATGTCAACTTACAAACCAGCCAAGGATAAGAACTTTAGAAACAAATAAAAAGGTATTCCCGAATGTCCCGCCCAACAAATATCAACAAATATCTCCGTAAACATGTTTGACATAAATTTCCCTCCATAATAAGCTAGCATATTCAGTAAGAAAAATGTTCCGACCACCTCCTTTTCAGGCAAAATATTAGGTTTGATATGTTCACTCTGAATACTTGTACCCTCAAACTCACAAATATATATATATATATACATATATATATAAGGTCAGGAGCCAAAGGGGTCAAACTGTTGGAACGGTATATCCTCTTGAAGCTGTAAATACAGATGTCATCAAGAAACAAAGATACAAGCCTCTGTTGACCCATCTATATAGCATATTAAGCATATAGAATAATTAGACAACCCAAGGTACAGGTTTGGCATCAGATATGAAAAACAATTATATCATATTAAGCCAAGAAAATCTAGCACAAAATACCAAATCATTTCGATTTTACAAACCAAGGGCTTCGTTAGATGCATCATGCAACGAGCAAAGGACATATACTTTCAACAGAACGATCAGTTGTCCCAAAAATGAAGATAAAAGGAACATTGTTAGGAACAAAGATATCAATGGCCATAAACTCACGGAATAAAGTCCTCCAAGAGATCTCTAGACAGCGCCGCTATTAACCTGCACAAAAACATTCACGCAGATGTAAGCTGTGCAGAAGTTGAACAAAGAAGGTGTATAGGATTAAGAAAAGAACATATGGTAGAACTAAGCAGTTTTTTACAACAAGAAACGGCCTGTTCTCCACTCTCCAAGCAAAGAAACATATAACTTGAGAAACTATTGTAGGGAGATGCTCCTTGTGGCACATAATAAACATGTGAACATGCACCATTTATCATCCTATCTTTACAGCATGTAACTGATTCCTACCAATCATCGAAAAAGGAAAGGACAACCCATGCTTAAGTATTTGATTAATCAGGATATCAGTAGACAGATTCTCAAAGACTGTTCAGCAGCACTTCAAGTGGTTCCCAAGAGAAACAGATTGTCAAGTAACAAGGTATCACATGTCTCAACTGCTAAACCTAGAGAAATTAGAGATGCCATCCTGTTCACAGGATGTACATTGAAATCATGATGTTGGCATTTGTGTTGCTTCGCTGTTTTATTACTTCTGTTCTATAAATTTTGCATTCTTTCTCGTTAGAAAGATGTTCATGAAATTATATTAGAACAATAATCAGGAGAGTACGAAGTTTTCCTATGACGTTCTAAAAGCAAAAGCACCGTCCTTTTTTAAGTCAGTCGTAAGGTGTTATAACAAAGTCAGAGTGCTACTCCTTGTATTGCCTATTATCTTATGAGAATATGTCTTTTAATAAGGCCTTATATGGCCATAAATGTAAGCTTATAATTACAGAGTAGTTGGTACAAGAATCATTTCTCCTACTCAAACCTTACTGTTCGAATAGCTATCTGGCAGCCACCGCGATCCATAACTCCATAATCAACACAACAGTGGTGTTATGCATGATGATAATTCTAGTGCAGGCACAAGGTGGAGGTGTGTTTCATTGAAATATAGGGTTTTCGTAGTTACTGATGCAATGAATTTAATGTTTACTCAGCTCGTGGTTTGCAATCACATGACAAATAATAATGGAGATGCAAACAGACTAAAAAACAAGATATATGAGATTTTACCTAAGAATGGGTTCAAGTGATAATCTCCCTTTCATCTCCAACCTAGAAAGAAGCTTAGAAAGTATAGACTCCTTCTGCAAAATAATCTGTGGTAATGTCTGCACCAACGGCAACATTTCCTCATAAAACGATATAAAATCCTCAGCAGTGTTAAGTTCCTATACGCATAGATGAAAGAAAAGGTGTCAATAAACCAAAAGCAAAATAATATTCTAGTAACCACAAAGTTTTTTTGGTGCCCTGAAACTTCAAGGGATGAAATACTAAATTATAGGACCAATTTATGTGATTCCTCAAAATACAATGCCAAGTTACAGTACTTGAACATTGCTATTATAAAGAAATAGAGAATCCTTACAAACATTTAAAAAGTCAAAAATGTTAATACTAGGAATGTGCAAGAACAATAAGACCTAGAAACTACCCAAGTAATGACCGAGTCAAGTATATAATATGATTTGGTGAATACACGGAATTAAAGTATAAATTGGGATTCCAATAATTGTAAAAGATTCTATCTTCCTCTCCAAGTGAGATTTTGAGCTAACCCTTTTTAACACTTTGATATATTTTCACACAGACCATAGACTGCACAAATGACGAAAATTTCAATGACTCTGATAACCGGATTAATGTAGCCTCTTTGTAACAATTACAATCCAGAAGATGGTGCTCAATCAGATACATGAAACCAACCATTGTAAAAGCAACAAGGCACGTGCAAATATACAAGCACAGGACCAGGCAGACCAAAGACCAGCCAAATTAGAAACCACTGGAAGTAACATTAACATCCCACTTCAGGCTAGCATTCTATAATGAATTATAAAATAAAATCATGTTCATGTATGCCTTTGCTTTTGAACAAAGTTTTGTCATGAATAAGCATAGTAACATAATTCACAGAGTGAACCTCTAATGCATAAAACTTGCTACACTAGCAGCAAAATAATACACTCACAATTTCGTCCACAGGAAACCTACGCAATTATGTAGTGTACCCTCAATTGTAACTTTAAGGGATTTGTTACAAAGTATGGAGGAATGCAGGCATAACCTTAGACATAATTTAGATAGAAGCCAAATTCACTAAAAATGTCTGCATAGGCATACAGTAGGTCTGAAATTATGAAGCAAAAGTGTAACATACCCTCCATTCAACTAGGCAATCACGGAAAAAGGATGAGCCTTCTGAGGGTTCTGATTTGAGGGGATCAAGACTTCGAAAAACATCAACATCGATTTCTTCAATTCGTTGAGAGAATGTCTTGAACTGTAAACACATATTTACCAAGTGTTAAAGACATCATCAGCATTTGAACATAGCCAACTTTCAAGAAATAATACTCCCTCCTCCCCAAGATTAGACCCAACTTCCAGTTCTAATAACCAGGCCCATATTTTCCATATTGAACATTGATACTTTCTTAGAATAGAATCAAAATATAATAACTAGTGTAACATTGTTACAGGTATTTAGAATTAAAAAGTTAAAGCATACCACAAAGCGTCTTCTTCCAGCTCCATTGTTCAACGACTTAACTGCCTGAGCATGTGACTGTGTCGCCATTGTCTTACACCAAATCTGCTACCAAAAGAACTAGACTGATGTCACGGGTTAGAACGTTAGGGAAACAATCAGACACAAACCCTAAAATAGAGATAATACAACAAATCACAAAACCATACCGGCGTGAATGGGCACTTCAATTTCTTCTTTTACAAAGTTGAGGGTGGGAGAAGAGCCCAACAGTTGCAGTTAATCCTGGCAAGAAACACGGTGGACGGCCTGAGATGCAGAATAATCCAAAATGGAAGCGAATTAGGATAGGAGACCGTAGAGTGTAGACGGAGCCACGGCGGACGACCCAAGATTAGGGTTTAGGGTTCAACGTTTCATAATCAAACTGTGAAAAATAACCGCCTTTCATGTATCAAGCTACAAAATTGGTCCCTCGAGTATTAGCTAACTGCTGATATTAGTCCCTTTTCTTTTATTCTGCATCAACGGTCCTCTCAAGTGTAATAATCACACATAAGATTTGGTCCGTTTGACCGTTACATACAATGAGTAATCGTCAATTTATCAGAACATCTCTAATAGAAGGTTCTTATAAGTAAAAATTGTAATGTTGTATAATAAACTTGTTACGAACCAATTTTAGTCTTTAATTTGTCTAATTTGCATATGAAATTGATTAGTAGTAATTTTGTAATAAGATTGAAACTGATGCATGTGAGTAACAAAGAAACAAGGGTAATTTTGGAAAATATCAGATAGACTGCTTAGTTATTTTTTGATTAACACACTGTTCATAAGTGAACTGTGTTAGTAAGTGAACCTTATTCATAGATGAACTAAGGGGCTGTTTGGCAGTTGCTGAATGGTTTGGTGCAGAATGGTTAAGTGGTCAGAATGGTTAAGAGGGTCATAATGATTAAGTGCTGAATGAAATAATGTTGTTTGGTAACCGTTCTCTGAATGACAACAAATTACCATTTTAACCCCACCAACAAAATTGCACAAAGACCGCCGATAACAGATCCCACAACCACCCCAGTGGAGGAACTTCTGCCACCACCAGCGCCATGTCTAACACCAGGCGAGTCCGGTGAACCATTAGAAGGTGAAACCRGTGTTAAACTGGGACCATCTTTCCCGATATTCGTATTCCCATCCGTTTTCACCTTAACAGTTTCTTTACAAAACGGAATTTGGCCATAAAGTTGATTGTTTGAAACATCTATCTCTACAAGATTTGGCAAATCTTTAAGTTCATTAGGTATAACCCCAATAAGATTATTGTCTGCAAGAATCAATCTTTGCAGCATCTTAATCGAAGATAAATCCGATGAAATGGTGCCCGTGAGACCCACGATAACCCACAGATCCAACCACCGATTATCAGCAAAACCTTGAGGATAACCCACAGATCCAACCACCGATTGTCGGGAAGGGAACGAAAGCGACGGTTCAACAGATCCAGAGATGGTGAAGACGATGATGGTCAAAATAGAGAGAGTAGAGTAGATAAGGGCTGTTTGTCGGCCGGTTGTCGCCGGTGACGGAAAATGGCAACGAACAGGGGAGTGGGGAGGAGCAGTGGGTAGAGAGAGTATAAAAGGAGATGGAGACGGTGAAGGCAACAACCGGCGAAGCTGAATTTGGCCGGAGATGGAAAGCGACGTGAACTCGTGGAAGGCGACGTGAACTCTGGAGTCTGGAAGGATCGTGAAGGCAACGCTGGAAGAGAGGGGTGGGAGGGGTAAAGATGGAACAAATGATGTCTGAATGGTTGGGTGAAGCTCCAGACACAAAATGGTTAAGAGGGTCATGTAACCATTAAGAGGACTGTTTTTTTTTTTGCCAAGCAGACTTCACCTCTGACCGATTAAGAGGTTGGCTCTTAATGTCACCATTAAGAGCCAAACAAAAGCCCCAAGACACAAAAAAATTAGTGTGCATGTGTTTAAAACTGATTATGAACACATTCAAGCTATAAAACAATGTTCATGATATTGATCAGTGTCTTGTTAATAGATGAATGCTTATCATAAGTGGAACATAAAGTATAAAGGGTTATGAGATTACATAGTTACCATTCTATATATATTTTTGTCTTTTTTTTATGTATATGGTTTGATCCATCTAGAAGACGTTTACCAAATACTTATTTGGTAAGCACTTATCTGTAAAATTCAACACTATCATTTACTTACGGGGTAATATTTTAGTCAACAAAAATAACATCATGTGCAACAATTTACCCGGTAAGCGCTAACTGTGGTAAGAGTTATTGTCTTCGCTTACCGGGTAAGACTCTCGGTTGTCGTCTCGTTCTTACCCGGTAAGATTTTTGGTACTTGTCATATTCACCTAGTAAGGTAATGTAACTTGAAAAGCGATTACCAATGTAAGCATTTGATAGAACGGCCCCTTAATTGACAAATCCCATGCAAAATGTTCATTCCAAACGAAATATACAGACTATAAATCAAACCACACATTGCTACATTAGTTTAGTCTTTGTTTCAATGATATCCTCGTCTAATACAGATGAATATTTATACTCCATCAGATATAAGGACGAGTTCAAAAAATAAACTTAAAAAATGGAGAACAAGGGAACCATATTTCAAACATCTGATTTTTAATTCAATTGTTGTGTATAATATAGATGATTATATTTTTGCTTATGGGACGGACCCATAATTTTTTTCAAACGGTGACATACAACAAATTAATACGGGTGCACATTTCACGAACATAATTTTTTTACCCTCTTGACAGAAAAATAATATGGTGGCACGTGTCACCTTTGGCACCACTGTAGTCTGTAGGTCCATACATGGCTAGTTCCACAATAAATGGCAGGCCTATTATTTTTTGCCGAGTGGATGCATCTTTAAGGTGGATCAAGTCCATAAAAAGTCATATAGTGTGTTTTTAGCTGAATTCCACGGATTCGAAGGACTTTTTTAAGTTTTTTAGCTGATTTCGAAGGATTTTAAGTTTGTTGGTTTACCTCGAGGAATATTTTCTGTTTTTTGGTTGATTTTGATAATTTTTCCCCTTTTTATTGATATTCTTTGTACTTTTTACTGTATCGGAGCACCCCTCAAAGTTTGTCGAGTACACCATCCATACCCTGAAAAATTATATCTGCAAAGATGTGTGAAACTGGTGCACAAGACATTGTTCATGGCTTCGTAGCTCCGCACCAGACACGATTATAGATTAAGAATAAATTGCATGAAAAAACAATGCACCTTAACTTGATTTACATTATGGGCAACATACTTTCAAAACTTTCATTTTAGTATCTATAATGTAAAATTTTATACATTTAAGTATCCAGTTGAAGCATAAACCGGCTACCAAACTGATATGACGAGTGATGTGGTATCTAACTCAATATTATTTGATATTTAATCGATGATTTTTTACATATAGTCTCTCAGACGAAAATAATAATAAATTATAAATCATAGACACGAAAATCATAAATTTTCACATAATGACAATCATAGGTGATATTTATTTTCAGACATTATTTGACAAACATTAGCTTAACTTATAAATAAAAATTATTTATAAATAAAAATTATTTTTAATTAATAATTAGTTTCACCGATATTAATTATTGACTATTTAGAATTATTAATCAATTATTTTATATTATTGTTATTCAATAAATTTAGTTGTCAAAAAACAATTAAAAATATTGTTGTAAAATACATAAAAGTTAAAATTATATATTTATTTTGTTTCATAAATAATAAATATTTTAAAAAAATATCTAATTTAATTCATTTTTTTTGAGAAATTATTAATTAACTAAAATATGTAAGAATGATAAACTTTGTTTTTMTTTATATTATATATAATGGTTATTTAAAATCAACATTTAATGTAGATATTTTTCTAAAATTTATATTTGGTTATTAATTTTTTAAATATGTATTTTTTTTAAAAATTTTACATTTTATAGCTAGTTTCTTATCAACTATAAGCTATCTTATAAGTTATCAGCTAGTTTATCAGTTAGTTTGTCAAATATAACCTTAATATCTGTCGAATTCAAAGTTATATTTCAATGTTGATTAATAAGAGTTGATGCTAAAATGTAAAATATAAATCAATAAGGTCTTGTTTGTTTTTTTCATTTTCAGCTCTTAACTACCACTTATGTCTTATTTTTTCAAACGTTTTGTAATTCAAAATGTTTTTTTTTTAATTTTTAGATTCTATTATCACTTAATATGGTCTGAATAAATAAGAGGTAAACTAATATCTTAATTCATTTTATTTATTTTATTATTTGATTCTCGTTGGCTATTGCTTCTTTCTCCGTCAATGACACCATCGTCCTTTCATTATCCATGTGAAATGCACGCCCCCCTCTCTCTATATATAATTTATGTACGTATAGGTTAACTTAGAAAATTAATGAAACAAAAACTTATATCAGCGATCTATCCTCTATCAAAATATCGATTCACAAACAAACTCATCGACAACATTCCCGATAGCATTGGAAGTCTACAAGGTATCCACAAGGTTCTTACCTTGTTCCATCCGTTAAGCAATTGTTGAGATAAATTTCGGCAATAAAAATTTTATGAAAATCAAGAGAATTTTGCAAAATATTTGCACCTGATTTTACAAAGCCAAAATATTGATTCAGATTTCAAACATTTGACAGTTTACAAAAACAAACAATCTTATTAATTCAGATTTTAGACTTTAGTATATCTTTTATTAATTAAAAATAAAATAAAACCTGATATTTCACCGCTCGTTAAAAAAAAAAGTGTCACTTTAGTGTTTGATTTTTAAATTGAAGTTATGTGCTTTTATTTTCGTATATAAATGGCAGGTGCTTCCCACACGATTTTCACTCATCACTGTCATAAACCCTAGCCGCTTTCTCTCCAAAACCCTAATACATCCAAGGTATAACAAATTCCTCTTTCTTCTAGATTTTATCTTATATGTTCTTCGTTGATGCTAGCAAATTACGTCGAGATCCTGTGCATATGATGTTTCATGTTTCATAAGAGGATATCTTCTATCCGTTAGTGTCTCTCTGATTGAAAATGGCAGGTTTTTGTGTTCAATATCATCTATTTGTTATTGTTATTTTACATGGTTGTAAATTGTAACAGAGTAGTCTTTGTTTCGATGATAGGTATTATATAACTTCTCTAGAGGATTTTGTGGATCAAACCTAATTTTTCTTGGGATTCATTTCGTCAATTTGCAGAGCATATATGGGGGATACATGTTTGTTTTTTTGTTGAGCGTTGATCTTGTTTGGTGCTATCGTTGTCGATCACGTGATTTTGTGTGTGTTCTTCCAAAGATCAATTTGTCCAATGTGCATGCTTATTGTTCTATGAAGCTGGATAAGGGTAGAGGAATAAAGAAATCGGTCTCTGTCATGGTGATTTTGCATTATGTAGAAATGGAAACACATAGCTGGGAAACGTATATAAGTTAGGTTTAATACACAAAATTCTTCAAATATGCTCTGCAAATTGACGAACTGAATCTGAAGAAAAATTAGGTTTAATACACCAAATGGAGAAATTACAAATTACATATCATAGAAACACTACCGTGGTATAACCATGTAAACGAACAATTCCCTCGTGGCCTAGGAGGTTCAAATGCGGTGACTCCGTCCGGGCTATCTGCAAAACAAGTGGTCGCCGATTAGTCGGCTCTCATAGCGGGTTGGATATCCAGGTTAATAAAAAAAACAACTAAATGATATAGAACCCCGAAGCCTGCCATTTTCAAATCAGATAGAAGCTAATGAATAGAAGATATCTTCTTAGTGTAATAGTGTGTGGTTCTTTATGTTTTGAGTATGATGGTTGATGGTTTGTGTCAAATTTATACTTCTTTATGTTTTGAACCATTTTAGTAAATGAGCAAATATCCGTATGCAGGTTTTTTTGAACTTGAACAAGTGGAATGGCTTTCTACAACAGAATTGGAAGTCTCATGAGGCAAAGTATTTCTCACAACATTGTGTCAAATGGGCTAGTAACAGGACCGTCGATGTTCAATGCGATTCGCTGCATGTCATCTAAGCTTTTTATTGGTGGTATGTTGTACGCATTTGATGGTCCCTCACTTACTTCAGTTGATGTAATTGTGAAATAACTTTACTTGTGGATGTTGCAGGTCTTTCTTATCAGACTGATGAACACTCATTGAAGGAAGCATTTTCTGGATTTGGGGATGTCGTTGAAGGTGAGAACAATTTATAACTGATGCCAATATTTTAGAATTCAAATCCGAAGGCATGTATGATTTAAGATTTCCCACATTTTTAACATCTAGTCATGCCTGTTGTTTAGAAAGCACGAAAGAACCAGGAAATGGAATTTTGACATTGATAAACACCTCCGCAAGTGGCGGAAGTGCCATTTGCGGACCTATATCAATTTTACAGATTTGGTCCCTACACTTGTGGATTTGGTTCAGAAACTTCCTTTTTTACACTTTGACCCCTCTGCAACTTGCAGAGCTAGTGACATTTGGTGATTTTAGGAGATAAATGGTTAAGAGATGAAACCACAACCGTAAATGGCTACTTTAATTAATTTGCCTATGATTTATTCATGTTTAATCTTATTGGGTGTCACTTTACGGCTTCTAAACTTTCGAAGACCGGAAGTACTGATGTATATGGTTATTCGGCAGGGTATGTCTCTACAAAATTGGGAGCTTTAGCGAGACTGATCAAAATATTAAATTTTCTTTTTGGGTCACATGAATGTTAAAAAAATGCTTGCACCCCGAGTGGGGGACTTGTAAGTTTGTTTATTAAATGGTAACTAAGAGTAGAATGATCATAATCTTGTTTCTTGATCATCAACTATATCTTATATAAACAATTCTTTTGATCCAGCAAGAGTTATTACCGACAGAGAGTCGGGGAGGTCGAGGGGATTTGGTTTCATTAGCTACACCAGCGATGATTCAGCCAAAGAAGCAATGACATCCATGGATGGACAGGTTAGAAAATGAACATTCCTGCACTATTCAGTGGACCCAAGTGAAAATCTTGGATTACAAGTTTTAACTTTTAACCTCGTTGCTTTCTTGTTTGTTTAGGAATTGGACGGTCGAAGCATTCGTGTTAGTCTTGCCACCGAGCGTGCTCCTCGTACTGGCGGTTTTGGTGGTGGTGGTTATAACCGTGCTGGAAACGATCAGTATTAGGTGCATTACACATAGGCAATAACAAAGTTGGTTCTTGTACTACGAACGCAAGATTATTGATATTGTTCCTTTTTCCAATGGATTTAATGAACCGTTTAACCTCTATCGTGAAGTGTTTCGTATACGAGTTCTTTAGTTATTGCTAGGTTTCTCAGATAAATTGACCAAACTAGCAATTTTGGACTACATTTTCCTCCTTTTTAGCGTACTTTAAATCGTGGTTGGTATTGTGGTAAAATTTAAACCGTGGTTGGTTTTGTGGATCAAATTTAGAAATATACCAGAAAGGTACTTGCGTAATGCACTGAGATACATCTTGATTTTAATATTTCATTTTATTCTTTATCTCAGTCGATGTTATAGTATGGTTTTATGTGATTTTGAAAATTATGAAGTTTTTATTTTTGAATAAAATATAAATTTGCATATATCATAAAAATTTGACAAAATATATCGATATTAGTATCAAATTAACTATTTAAAATTCTTATTTTTTGTGTAACTTTTAAATTTATTTTTTATTATAATTTAATTTAGGTTCAATAATGAAGTAATTTATATTTGATTTAATAATATAATTTTCTTATAAAGATAATAATTAATTATTTTGTTAGAACTCGATAATTGTCCTAATTATATTTTAGATTTTTTATATTTTAAAATGAGATGTTTATTCTTTATTTAATTATGTTTATCCGCAGTTAGWTATACGAATTCAAACATGAAGTTTTAATAAGTTGTACTTATGCATATTGTACTTGTAATCTTGAATTTTAAGTAATATGCATCAATATACAGTACTTCATGCATAAAAAATTGTTTTTAAAAGTTTTTGTCAAATGCTTTATAATATAGTATAGATATGACAAATTCAGATTCAATACATAACCGTAATGTTACACAACTCTTTGATTGATAGCTAACAGACAGTTGAACATTAAAGAATTGAGATCATATCCGTTCTTAAAACTATAATGATCATCCATTTTCAAGATGGGTGATGAGTGACTTTTGCGTGCATCATGAATGAAGAACCGAAACTCATAAACTTATATCATGAACGCGCAAAGATTTGATATGACCAATCACTTCTTCTCCCACATGCGTGAAACTGTCTTTATTTTTATATAGAACATCCATCACTCGGGTCAAGTTGATC